TGTTGCAACCTGATGCTGCTTTTTTCTTCATCTCAATGAAGGTCAGTCATTGCAAAAATGATGATAAGACATGAATCTGAGAATTGAGAAACATTTCCAATTTTGTTAGGAAATAAATCTTAAAATTAATGTGGCCTGACGTTGCGAACTTAGCAAGTTCTTCTTCAGAGGCTAAAACAGAAATGACAGAGATACATACATTAACATGGGGGTGCACACAAACATGCAGGGCTGAAAGAAGAAACACAAAAGGAGGATTAGGAGGGAAAGGTGTGGAAAGATGCAGGGGAGGGTGGATGAGAGAACAAAGAAACAAAGGGAGATGGCAAACCACAAGGGGTCTGGTGTAAACAGGGGAGGGACCAGAAAGGGGAAGGATCAAAGGTCACAGGGAGTGGGAACGGACAAAAGAGTGTGAGAGTGAAGGGATGATGCGGGGGGGGGGGGGGGACAGTATAGAGGTGGAAAGGGATGAAAGATGGTGGGAGATGTGTTAACACAAACAAGGAAGACCAGATGGATTATCTGTAACAGAGGACAATGGAGGAAGAAAAGGATTAATCATTTCCAAGTTGGATGTTGAGACCATGTGGTTGAATAGTTCGAAGACGATTCATCCACACCTTCTCTCTGCTGAGGCGAACTGACTCTTTGCGATGGCCAAGAGATTCAATGCCCTGCAAAATCATATCAGAAATGGAGTGGTTAGGCAGGTTGAAGTGATGACCAACAGGGGTGTCTAGTTTCTTGGTGTTGACCGTTGACCGATGGGCATAGAAACGCTTCTTGAGCGTATTCTTAGTCTCACCTACATACTGCACTCCACAGACCCTGCAAGAAATGAGATATATGACATTAGAGGTGTTACAAGTGATGTTACCAATGGTTCTGTGGGTAGTGACAGAAGAGTGGCCAGAAAAGGAGTCAGACTCCTGGATATGAATCTGGCAGACAACACATCTGGAACTGCACTTGAAAGTACCATGCTGGGTGGGAGGGGATGCATCTAAGGATGGGACTTCAGCTCGAACAATCAAGTCCCGTAGATTTCGAGGACGCCTGTAAGCCAATGTGGGGCCGTTGGGGATGGCGCGGGCAAGGCGATCTGAAGTATGGAGGATATGATGATTGTCATTAGTGATTTTGCGGAGGGGAGGGAGATTGGGGTGAAACGTGGTAACCAAGGGAATCATGGGTTTGGCCATGGCATCAGGGGCCTTTCCCGTGAGAGCTTGATTTCTGGGGATAGATTTAGCTCTGGCAATGGCACGATGAACTTGGCGAGAGCTGTGACCCCTGGCCACCAAGTTGTTCTTCAGTATCTGTGTATGGCGGGAGAAATCGGAATCATTAGAACAAATTCTTCTGAGTCTGAGTGCCTGGCTAAACGCTATGCCAGTTTTGCTGTGCCTGGGGTGACAGCTGGAGGAGTGGAGGTACTGGTGGGTGTCTGTGGGTTTGGAATACAGGTCAGTGGTTAGTGAGTTGCCTTGCTTGCGGCCGGTGACATCCAGAAAGTGGGTTTGGTGAGCCGAGAACTCCGATGTGAATTTGATGGTTCTGTGGAAGGAATTGATGTGGTTAGTGAAGGTCAAGAGACTGTCCTCATCACTGGTCCAGATGAAGAAAACATCATCAATATATCTCCACCAGATCCAAGGGCGACATGGGGCCGAGGCAAGAATGCGTTCTTCGAGGTCGCCCATGAAGAGGCAAGCCATCGACGGGGCCATGCGAGTGCCCATTGCGGTGCCGTGTACCTGTAGATAGTGTTCACCAAGGAAGGAAAAATTGTTCTTCGTTAGTATAACGAAGGAAATACTCAGAATTGTCTTGGCTCTCCATATAGACTTTGCACACAACCGCTGAGTAGCGTCAGGTTGCAACATTCTTTCCGTGATGGCCAGATATGGGAATCTTTCCGACAATTTCTTTCTGTTCTTGAAATTGACACTTGTAATAGTGTTAACAATACCATTAAGGTGTCAATTTCAGGCACGACAATGCCCTTCGACACATGGGCGTCGCGAGGGGGCGCTTTTACATTTTGTACAGTTACTTTTTACATGCAGTGCTTGCAACTTTTTGCCTCATTTTTCCTCACCATTTTTATCCATACTTGAATTGAAATTGTTGCACAAGTACCCCAGTGTGGCCAGTAGTTCCTACTCAATTACTTAAGGTAAAATGCGTAACTTTTAGGCATGAAATTGGCAACTTACTCTGCGTCTTTGTGATGGTTGTTGACGTCCATTACATCGTCCTTGCCCGCGAACAACAAATGGCGGACACACACGTACACATGTGCGCGCGCCGTCGTTTTGAGTGTCATTTCATGGGGGCGCCCCACCTACTAACCAAATTTATTGAAGGCCGCCTAAAAAAGTGGGGGTTTTTTGCAACAAAAACTTGCTAGTTAAAACAAATACTTGTCATACTTTTTAATAAGGGAATAAATGTGTGCTCCGGAGGTTTTTATCACTCGTTTAATACCGCTTAGAGTCTGGGTGCTGATAATTACCCGAGCCGGAGGCGAGGGTAATTATCAGCACCCAGACTCTAAGCGGTATTAAACAGAGTGATAAATACCGACCGAGCACATATTTATTCCCATTCATAAATACCTTATCCGTAAAAAAATATCAAATAATTCGTTCAAAAAAATCCCGATTTTGTTCAACAAGTTCACTTCATGCTTTTTGAAACATCCCTCTAGCAAAATAATGGAGTGTTCAGCTGGCGAGTAAGATGTAAACAACCCTTTTATGGAGATTGACGCGCGCGTAACATGTTCCGCGCGATGTCACGCAGAACGCACCTGGGGCGTTGCGTTTTGAATTTAGAACTACTAGTGCAGTGCCCGTCTAAAATGTGCATGCTCGGGAAACGCAAATTGCTTTGCCGCTGCCCGCTGGTACGGTTGTATACTTGCAGAGTTTTGGAGAAATGCTCGTACAAACAACGCATGCGATTCAATGGTGTTGTTTTCACAGGTTGAACGCACACTTACGTCAAAATTTTTGCCAAGTTTGAAGTTCGACCACCTACAATGGTCGCTCAGTCGACTGCAAAAATAATGTGCCCGTGTACATACGAAAACATGGTATGCAGTGCTATTCACCCATTGATCCATTAGTTTTCACCCACACTGGACAGTGTATCGCCCTGCAATGCACGTGCGCGTGCCCGTCCTTTTTGCATTGTTTGCGTCATATTGAGCACGCGCGCTTTAGCTTAAACATGACGTAAACAATTGAAAAGAACGGCAGTGCGTGCGGGTGTTATGTTCTAAGCTATATACTGCCACGTTTGCCTCAGAAAATACTGCTTTTTGCAGCTTTTTCGAGAACCGCTGGTCCAAACAACTTCAAACTTTGCACTGCACATTCTGTTGTCCCGAAAAATATACCCGCCGATTTTCAACTTCATACGGTGCCCGGTTCTGGAGATAATCGACGGACAGACAGACAGACAGAGATTCCTGGAATTATAGTAAGATAAAATTATGAAAACAGATTAAGTCTGCTGTTTCTTTTACTCAAGCTTCCTAACCATTTGAATTTTATATTGAAAATAGCATTATGTCTTCCATAACTTTTTGTGCCTTTTCTAGTAAAAAGAAGTTCAGGTTTTCCCCTCTTGGCAATAACATGATTTTTCCGTGATGCAAAAAGGGCTAAAGTGAGCCTTCATATATCGATAAAATTATCGATTTAGTTGGTCAAGAGCTGCCGAGAAAAAGAGCACACATTTTTTTAGACTCAATAAAATATAGATTTTACTTGTTTTCTGATAGGGAGAACGTACCCCCTGAAACTCTGCCTTCACTTATTTAAATAACAATCAAGGGGTCATTCAACAAAAGCACGAGTACACTTCTCGAGAAACTGTCCAACCATAGAGCTACCCCAACCAACTGTTTTTACTTCAAAGATAAATTATTTGGCTTATTTTTCCAAAAGTAGAAGTCAACATAAATTTTAAAGATTCAAAAATTTGGAGAGAAATCAGTCCATTTTTTTTTTTAAAATAAAAAGCTACCTGTTAACAGATTTCGCCTCAAAACAAAAATTGGGGGGAGGGGGGAGGACTTTTTGGGGGTGGGTGGGGGTGGGGTGGGGAGCATCATAAACAAGTTTTCCCGCAATAAGCAGGTAATTTTTGCCCAAATCTTTGAAATTTTAGCTGTTGGAATATTGCTTGATGTTCCTCTTGCATCCTGGTCTGCGTTGTTTTGAGAAAAATACATTTTCGGCCAAATTTTGTTTAAAAAGTAAGGTTAATCTTAGCAACTGTTTTCAATTTTGGCTGAAAATTCAAATACTTGAAACTTGCATTTAAGGTGTCTGCATGACCCCAGAAGACATTCCTACAGCATTTCAGAAGACATTCCTACAACATTTTTTGTCGAATCCGCCGGAGAATTTTGTTGCACATTTTGAATTTTTTAGCATCAACTGTTCAGTATAAATATTTATGTAAATTTGACCCATGAAAAAAGATACATTTCATCCTACAGTTAAATTTGTTGTCAGAAAAAAATGTTTCTTTTTTTGGGGGGGGGGGGTCCAAATGTAATTAAATCGTAAAAGGGAACCTTGGATTTTCTGTGAATTTGGCTTAAACCTTAAAAACAATTATGAATAACAATGTTCAAACATTTTGCTGACAAAAAGTACAAATGGTTAGTTCATTTAATAGCGCTAAACTTGCCGTGAACTTATGTAGTAAAGCTGGAAGAACAAAACAAAATGCGAGAGAAAAGTCAATTAAAATTCTGAGGAATAAAAAAATCCCTAGTAAATTTCGTGATTCAACTTCAAGATGAGCATATCATAGCATGCAATCGGTCGATCGTGCAGCGCAGACGACATCCAAAAGCTGCTGCTCGGGCTTGCGTTTGTAAACAAACTTCTGACCAATCAAATACCTCATTTGGAGGCCTTTAAATTTTGAATGTGTTATTGCGCGTGCGCGCCTCAAATTCCGCAGCGTTGCGTACATTTTGTTCAACCATCGCGTTTAAATTTTGTGCATTAACGCCCGGCGCCAGCGCTTCACAACACTGCGTTTGAACGCTGTCATCATCAGCACATGTCCTTTTGTGACAATATTTTTGTGATATCTAAGGAAAAGTTCTTGTAGAATTTTATTGGATGGCAGCTGCTAATACCGGGGGTGCAGGGGATAACATGCTGAGTTTGCAATCAGAAAACGCAAAAGAGGAACCAACCGTGAAAACTGGCGGAGCGGACGGGGCAGAGAGCGATCTTGTCCCGGTCAAGTTGGAGTCGGCAGTCGCTTCAGCTTCAGCTTGCACGATGGCGGGCGACGGTAACGAAAAATGTCCCAACAAGTCGGTGACACCAATTTTGAAGGAAGGAATATTGCAACTCCTGTGCACAGATGGAGTCCAAGGTAAGTGGTAACCTATTTTAATGTTGATCATAACGTAGTTTACTTGGATTCGGTAAACAGTGGTCAGACATGGTGGGCCTAGGCAAAACATTAGGCCAAAAAAAAAAAACCCAGTTAACTGGGTCTGTCCACACTAACGGTTACAAAAGCGTGACAAATTAGAGGGAACCACGGACAGGAGTCGATACATGGAGTAATATGTAATATTTTTGTATGATTGTAACTGGGGATCTCTACTCGACAAGCATTGCTTTTTAGGGATCCCCATCCACATATTTTGTTTACATTTAACTCTAATCGTCTTCTTTTACGTGGAAAATAAAGTGAATTGAATTGAATTGAAATTGAGTAAGTTTTCCGTCTTTCTTCATCCAATAACAATTGCCCACCAACAAGTTTAATAAATTTCTCAGGTTTCGAGAAGTTAATTAGCCTACAGAGGAGTTCAAGATTTCACGTTCATAACATGGACAGATTTCATTGTTAAGTGGTGGGCAGCAATAAATAAAATAGGGCCTACATGAGTTAGGCCTAGGCCCCTATCCCAAATTTGTTCCTATAAAAAAAAGTAAAGCTAGGCCTCCCTAGGCCTATCCATTGAGAGATTGCCACTGGCCAATCTCAGGTTAGGGTGTAGGCCTAGGGCCCTACACATCTTCAAGTTCAAGACTTCTTGTTCATAACACTTCATGTTCATAACAGGGACAGAAATTTATATTTTTATTCGGCCATGACATAAAGGCTTAAAAAACAAAACCAAAAAAATCTATTTGACACAGTTTATGGTGATCCTAATGCCAATATAAATTGTCACTTCTACTTCTCCCAGCATTTTAAAAAAGTGTTAGGGGGCCTACAAGTTGGGAGGTTTGTAGGGCCTAGGTTGGAAACTCAGCAAGTACTTGTCTCTCCCCCCCCCCCACCCCCCTCCCCAAAAAGGATTAGACCTAAAAATAGGCCTAATAATATAATAAAGCTATGATTTTTTTTGTTCATGAACATTGTTTTCAAAAAGTTGGTGCATGCAGTAAGCTTTCCATGGATAGATATGGATGAATTCATCTGGTCATGCATCACCGAGTTCCATTTAAACTAAAATGATATTTTGAAAACCCTCTTGGGGACAATTTTGAGTAAAACAGTAAAAGTACATCCACAACAAGGCCTACAACCTATGTTTTTCTAAGAAATTGATAATTTAATTTAATTATTAAAACCATTTCATGAGAGACTCTGATCTGAATTCCGGATTTCCTATCGCCACTTTGCAAACGTAGTCATTTTATATCAGTAAATTTGTTTAAGATATCATTTTTTTTGCCACTATGCTCCTTTGCAGAGGATAAAGCTGTTACGCAGACATCAAATGACAATGCCACATCAACTCCAACAGAAGCCCAGCTGGCCACTGTCATCCAGAGCGCTGAAGAAGTCCTCAGCCGAGAAAGCCTTGCAGCGATTCCTCATGGCTCACCTACTGCCAGTGAGCCTGGCACTGCAGTCATGCATCCGGTCCCTCAAGTCTCCATGGAAACAATGCCAGAGGCAAAATCTGCCGTCAAAGTTCAAGAGGAGTATGCAGCTCACCCAGAGCCTGTCATTAAAGCTGCTGCGGAGGTACCAAATGAGAATCAGAACTTCCAGGATGCGATGCTCCATACACCCCCTCCCCAAGAACATCTCAGTGATAGTTCTCCTTGTCAAGTAGCTGAAGCATCAGAGTGCCTGTCGACCGTCACAAGCCTGCCAGCGTCTTCACCACCGAGCGTGCAGCCGCCAATGTCCAATGCCAGCAACTCAGTGATGCCAGACCTGGGCGTATTTGCAAATAGCATCACTGATCCCTCCCAGAGCTACTGTCAGGTGGGGAATCTACAGCCAAGCATCAGCTCCTTCAATGGGTTTTCTCAGCAACAGACAGTCACAGACTCTCTTCCCGGTATCTCCACACTAACCTCCTCCTCCAATATGGTGAATGGTATGACTGCCACTCTGAACAATCTTGCGTCCAGCAGTTTCCCTTCCGGAAATATGATGAACAACGTGGTCTATGCTGCTGTACCTCTTCAACAAACTGCAAGTGGAATGCAGGTGATTTTCTGAATAACTTATTTCATGCTCATTTTTGTTTCCAACCCAGTAGTTACTGTATTGCCCAAAACCCTGAACAGTTTTTGAGATTCATCACTGAATAAACACAAAGTTTTATCTTAGTATGCTAAGGTGATTTTGTCATTCGTCATCAGAGTTATTCGGGGTTACAGTTTTGATTAATGTTATTAGTTTTGAATGAAATTCAGTGAAAAACAAAGCATATATAATTGAAAATTTTAAGAATCTCATGAATTGGTAACATTTTGAACTGAATTATACATTTTTCCGCATGTTACATACAAATTCAAAATAGCCAGAGTTCATTCAACACATTTGATTGAAAGCTTTGTTTTATATTCAGCAAAGCAATTAAATTATGGCTCCATTGAATTCGCAAACAAACTACCGGTACAATTATTGACTTGATGAAATTTTCTTTGTACTTTTTTTCTGTAAAAACCATGAATTGACTTACTTTCTACAATTAAGCTAACAAATAAAGCTATTTAAAGTTGTTTTTTTTTATTTCTAAATTATCATTTCAGCTTGCCCAAATGCATCCAAATGCAAATGCCTACAACCTGGCCCGCCCCAGCGGAACCAGCCGACGAGTTCTTCTTCCTCGAGGGCGCTCTTCAAGCAACACCCCAAAGGAGAACTCCTTCAAGAAGACGATTACGCCACTGACTTACGAGAAACCCAACGTGGGCCTGGTGCAGCAGATCATGGAGGTGTTCCGGGTGACAGGACGGAAGGAGATGCAACCGTGTGAGGTCTACGATGGGTTGGAGTGAGTCGAACCTCCAGACTTTAAAAACTCTGACTTGTCCCCCAGAATTGAACACGAACCCACCCCTATGGACTTTGTGCAAACATCCTTAGCAGTGATATTAATTTCAAGCATAGCTGTTTTCCTGAGTTGTAGTTGAGTTTGGTCACAAGTATATCGTGAGGCAATTCACAAGGTCACTAGTAACAAGGGAAGAACAATAACAAAAGACTGGCTTTCTCATGGTTCATTTGAGTAGCTTGTGACTTGACTTAATTGGGACTGGAGGAATTGTGGTGGACTTGTGTGGACATTGATGGACTCAGAATACAATACAGCTGTTAACAAGGAACCTTTGAGTGCCATTTCCATGGACATGCGCACTTACACACGTTGGGACACACATGTTTATGCACATTTACAAAATTTGCTTTCTAAACAATGTAATATTTAATTTTATTTCTCTGCAGATGTTGCTATCCATATTATCTGCGCATGAATCCAAATAGGAAGAAAAGCTGGATGGTGAGTATCTCATGTAATTTGTGTTTTGTTTTGTTTTGATTTGATTCTTATTAAGTTGGTTTTTGGTTTTTATAATTTGTTTATTTTTTCTATCAGCACTTTCTGTCCTAGCATTTGATTGGCTTCTGAATTTGCTAGAATACAACACACGATAAAGCAGTTTATACTCAGTGTGACTCAAGACGAATGACGTTTATTTCAAAATTCTAACAAATTGCCCAACCCTAAGATGACAGATTCTGTGGAAAGTATTCCTGAGTGGATATGTTGATAGTACAGATGGATCACAAGTCACGTCACAATTAAATCACAAGTAGATTAATAACTCTAGTCACATGTAACAGGAGGTAAACAATAACAAAAGAATGCCTATGTAAAAGTTCACTTGATAGTTTGTTAGTTGACTTGGGACTGGATGACTTACGAGTGATATGATCGACTTGTGATCCATCTCAAGTAACTCTGTCAAAAACACTACATCCTACTGTCTTCTTCTTCCCTCTGAACAGAGTTCTGTCCGGCATGCACTCACAACTCCCTGCTTCAAGTCCCGACGTGCAGAAAACTCCGATGGCAAGTTGGCCCCTCGCAAGGGTGGCTTCTGGTCCATCAATGACAGCTACGACCCCAACTCTAAGCCCCCCAAACGCGTCACCCCGACCAAGCGCCCATTGGGCAGCCCAACCTATCAACGGCGCCAGCCCTTGGGGGTCAATACCCAGCAGGCCAACTGGCAGACCTTTCCTGGCCACAACCATCTTGCTCAGCAGCACCACAGCGCTCGCCACAGTCCTTACAACTACTTCAGCCCAACCAGGGGGAGCTTCTCTCCCAACGTCCCTGTTGTGTACTCACCCACCCGGGTCTATCAGCCGCAGACACCAACAGCAGCCCTCCTTCCCAATGGTAAGATGATCTACATATCCCCAGCTGAAGACGATTCTGCAGGTCATTCCAATCAGTCGTTCGGGCGAGATGTGTATCAGGCGTGGGGGGCTGACTCCAACACCAATAACACCCCAAGTATGTGGCAGATAGTCCAGAACATGGGAAATGACACCTGCAAAGATCAAGCCGACCAGAACAAAATCTTCAGCAGTACTGCCAACGGAGTGCAGCAGCAAGCTGTCGCCAACATGAACTGCAACAACACAGCTGTGACCACAACACTGGGGTTGATCAACCAGCAGCAGCAGCAGCAGCAGCAGCAAGATCAGCTGAAGCTGCAGTTACTCCAACAAGCACAGCTGCAGCAGCAGATGCAGCAGCAACAGCTCCAACAGCAACAGCAGCAACAACAGCAGGTGTTCCAACCTCAGCAGCAGTCCGCTGCTGACTCTGATCCCTTTGCTGTTGCCCTGGAGCTGAGCGAGATCAAAGCAAAACAGGAATCCACAGACAACCCTCCACAACTCATCAAACCACAGCAGCCTGCTTCCAGCAACAACCTTGAGCAGGCAATGTCAGTTGAGATGACTTGCAGCCCTGAGCAGCCTCAATCCATCCTCGGTGAAACCTCAAAAAGCACCCAACAACTTACAGCAAAAGGTAGGCATATCGGAATGTCAGAAACGCACTTCCTTTTCCAGAAAAAAAAGCCACTACTTCGATAAAACATATCAAATTTAATTCTCGAGTTTGGGATTGATTCATTTAATCAGATGGATCAAATTTGTGGACGCCATTTTGAGCTGATAGAAGTACGCAGACTGTTACAACAGTCCTTATTGATAGTCATAAATATAAACAGGAATGTGTTAACTGTTTTAATTCTAAAACGATACCTGGTATCTCCATTTAATGTTACACCTACCCAAGCTTTGTCACCTTAATATCCCCAAAATGAATTTTATCCTAAGATATGTCAAAAGGAGTTCCTCTATACACCTCCCAAGTTGGGGCCCCTACCATTTGCACAGTTTGAAGTCTGAAGCATCCCATTTGGAAAAGACTGACATTGCAACTGACATTAGAAATTCCTGATTGGTTTTAATTACACCTCTTTATTTCAGGAGACAGTAGCGGGTCCCAGCAGCAGGGATGCGAGGATCTCCGCAGCATGGTCTACCGCTCACTTGGCGTCTGCAATGACCTTAATACCAGACCTGCCGTCAGCGATGTAGCCCCACCCACTCAGCTCACTGCCACCCCGGTGACCCAGTTCAGTGCCCTGCCCACACAGTACCAGCTGATCCATTACAGTGGCAATGACACACAGTATGAGGGTATGGTCATTTGAGAAAAACCTTGTTATATCTCCGAATAGGTTTATCTCCCAAATCAGCCGTGTGATCATGGTGATAGCCCAATGAGGCCTCCCACCCAAAATTTCTTTTCAGGAATCATCTAGAACACTGTAACAGTTACGCAAAAACATGCAATGAGTATTTGCTCCTGGAAGCGTACACATGTATTTTATTCTACTAATAAGATATTACAGTCCAATTCCTGACTCCTGAACTATACTTGTCTAAGTAACACAAGCGGATGTGCATTTCAAGTTCCAACGGGCATAATTTGACACCCTGCATATATAATTTTGGTCAATAATGTGCAGGTTTTTGCATCTATTTTTGCCTCCTGCAGATATATATACAAATCTTAAAATTTCTTTAAATTAATAATAGTTTCTAGAAAAACAGTTCCTTAGACATTATTTACCTGTTGATTTTAATGACTGATTTCAAGAATTGATTTCAATTATTCTGCTCAATTTTTGTCAATTATGTGCAGGATTTTATGTCTATTTTTGCCTCCTGCAGATATACAAATCTTAAAATTTCTGTAAAATTAATAGTTTCTTGAAAAACAGTTCCTTAGACAGTTACCTGTTGATTTTAATTACTGATTTCAAGAATTGATTTCAATTATTCTGCTCAATAGAATTAATATTGTTGTGGTAAATTGATTTTGCCTGAGTTGCAACTGAACATTTGAAAATTTGTATGCTTTTCCATTTATTCATAACAGTTCCAAGTTTGTGCAAGCGATGTAAATTAATTTGTTTGAAAAAAAATATGTTCTGTTTCTGTGCAAAATATGTTCTAAGATTAATTAAAATTTTCGTCATTTACTATATGTTTATGCCAAAGATACATACATGTACATGTATGTCACCCCTTATGAAAAAACAAAATACGACAACACAATCAGCTATGCACATCTCATTCAATCTTGAGGTACATTAAAACAGTGTATTTTATTGAAACTTCATTTAAATTTACACTTTTTGCTTTCAAACTTTCATGACGCAATAACATTCAGTCTATTTTGTCTCAAGAAAGGATGTAGCCTACTTATGTATGTATTTTAGGAGAAGGGATTTAAGCAAGAAGCTGGTCTAAAAATGATTTTGTTAAAAAATAAATCAGTTATGTATTTTGGTAAAAGTGCTTTTGCTGGGTGAATTTGTCTGTCTGTGCCTACTGATCAAGCTTCTTAAACTGAATTTTGAAAAGGGTTGAGAAAAGATGTTTTTTAGCATTTAAGTTCGCTGAAGGTGCTTTTCATAACAAATTATCTATCAAATCACTTTATATAGTATTTTGGAGCTTTTTGGACTTGTCAATTTTAGGATGACATACTCATTACTCCTCCAGATGAATGAAACTCCTAAATATACCCTTGTATCGAAGAAAACAAAGACTGGTACGAATATTCCAGAAAATAGGGTAAATTGTCATTACATTTAAAGGGACATTACGGCCTGAAATGCCTGATCATTTTATGTTTTGGATTGTTTCCTTATCCTACGTTAAAGGTCTGGTTGAAAGGAAACTAAACTAATGTCGCATTGTCGCAAGACGAAAATCCCTGTTTAATTCTGACGCCACAAACATTGTGGGACACATGTGAAGCGATCAAGCTAAATGAGTCGTTTGTCGACCCTGGTCAAATTGTTGGTTTTTTTACAGATTTGAAGAGAGCACAATCTCAGCATTACTGCTGTGAAAACCGCATGCTGATACCATCTTTAGTTCAAAAATTATTGGAAGTCAGAACACGAAGTGATGTGATGAAGTGGCCCTATTTTGGCCTGAATCTCCAAATGATAGTTTCCGACAAACGACTCATTTAGCTTGATCGCATCACAACCGTTGTTTCTCACACGTCCACAGAACGCGATGCACTGGTGAAACATGTGCAGCAGGATTCAAAACTAGCACCCAACACAATTTTGACCCCCGAAATTCGTTCTCACCAGAATAACACAAAACCACTTCATTTTTAAAGGATGGTTGTGTGGACGTTTATATCCACTTTAAGATGCTTTTCGTTTAAAACGCGTTTTGTAAACCAATTGGGAGCTTTCCAGGCTGTAATGTGCCTTTAATGTAATGATATTTTACTGACATAATTAGAAAAGTTTTAAAAATCTTGTTCACTAGCGTTGGGCCATCAGAGAAACACCACTATCAGAGATTATATTACAAGGTAACTAAAAAACAAAGAAAAGCTGACTGAATTAATTTAGTACGCAAATTCTACAATGGAACCAGCTACAAGTAGTGAGCATCAAATATTTCAGCTATTCGTCCATCCATTTTGCTTAGCAAACATTTTTTGTGGGACCAAACATGCAGAATGTAGTAAGACTACAAGACCTGCAGTAACACACATCTCTAAAGTTGCTTCAGTTGCTTCCATAGGCGCATGTACAATTCGGGCGATTCACAATGCAGTGCGCCACCAAGAGTTTGCCATGGAGAGTCAACTTTTCAAGTTTACGGTCGACAGAATATGGCCCATTTGAATGAGTGTCAGTAGACACTTGAGCTAATTTGTTATAGATTGGGGCATAGCGTTCTGCCGCCTTACCAAAAATCACCATATTGATACAAAGAAAAGAAAAGGGCAAACATATACTCGAATCATACGCTTACGAAACTACTGACCGGAAAAAAACAAACAATTTCAAATGTCCCGCGTTGCGAATTTGTCGACCATCTCTCACAATGCACGGGGAAAAATGGACTCTCCGTGGCTAACTATTGGTGGCGCTCTGCATTGTGAATCGCCCGAATTGCACGCTGGAGCCAAATAAGTCATTCAGACCAAGCCTGAGTGCGCTTTAGGCTTAACATCACCCTCTCTAGTTGGTTCAAGGCTACATGCTGATTTAACAAGTCCCGGTACATCTAGAAATGTAACCTAAGTGTTACACATGTGAATGACCCCAATTCAAAAATTGTGTACAAATGAAATTTGAAATGAAATACTTGATGGTTGCTGTCCACTGTTCATAGTGTTTTGGTTCTGGGGAACCTCATAAGACCTTGTATCGTCCCTTGTTGATTGGCTGATAGGAATTTTGCTGCAAGTAAATACAAAATAAACAAGTGAAGTTCAGCTTTTTGGCTAAATATGGGTTTTTTAACTACTTTTCACCATCAAATTAATATTTATGGGCATCAACAATAACAATTTTCACAATGGTAGACTATTTTGACTCCTCTCTGTGCCCAGACACTCAATTTCTAAGCGTCAAAAAAGGAATTTTACATTTAGTTTTATATTGATTGTACATTTCGTCAGGTGCACCACGAAGTGACGGACTGACAATAGACTTCGTGCACACGATACGTCATTTCGTGATGCGACCGAAAATTTGATGAAATTTTTCATTGATTAGCATACACGTATAGCAAAAAACAAATCTCAAACCTACTTGCAAAAGGGTAAAACAAAATCAAAGAAAACAGCATTCAACTAATCTTGTACTCACCAGTCTAATCAGTTCTTCCTTGATAAGTCGAGTGATTTCTGCCTTGGCTTTCTGTACAGCAAGCTCGTTAGCACCTAGGACGAAGCAAAATCATAAAGAGTAACAGTTTCAAGTGACAGAAAATAATCTACATGAACAAATACAAACAAATACCACAAATGGGGCATCCCATTCAAAAATCACTGATTTTTTCAGAGTGACTCAATAACATGACCCATTTTCAAAACTATCAAAATTGTTACGCGTTAACATGATACTATGCAAAGTATCATGTTAACGGGTAACAAGTTTGAGCCCTCAATGAAAACTCTTTGCAAGATTCAGCCCCCTGAAAATTACATGCTCCACTTAAAGGGAATATAAATCATTTGCTTTTGCTGTAATTTTCAGAAATGGATGGAATTGGGGGGTTGGAAATATATAGCAAATATAGTTACACTGACTTTTTTGAGGTTTTGGGTTCGAAAATGCTATAAAAACCAAGAAAAACAATCATTTTCCTGTAGTCTGGTTCCCTGACTCCATTTAAGAAGAAACAGAGCAGTTTACATATATTGGGGAATTGTAAGGTCAGGGAACCAGTCTAGCTGGCTTGTACCCGTTCATAGGTGTGTAATCGATTGCAAACAAGTGCGATGGTCAACTGGGGCCAGTATTTGAAAAAAAGCCAGTTTTTTCCAACGCTGATTGGCCGATCAGCGTTGGAAATTGATACAAAAATACCACTTTTCTTGAAAATGACAGTATACCAGGTGCCATGATTTTACAGGATGCTTTACACTGTCATTCACTAACAGTCCAGCAAGGTATTTCAAAATGATTCGGTAGTTTTATTTTTTGATGTTTGCAAATGTTGTATTTTCCCTTTAACATAGACCACTCGCAGCCATAACAAATCTGATGCTGACTTACTCTCGATGGCAAGGTACAGTTTGCGTTCTCCTTCCGCCTCCTTTGGTTCCTTGCCCGGAAGAAAGTAGGTCCCACGGATGGTGATGCCAGCCTCGCTGTATTCCTGAATCTGAGCCAGATTCTCCTACCGAGATGCAAAGTTTCAAAGACATAAATAAAACATTATTTCCTTCCTCAAAGTAATCCCGTAACAGTCTATTATTTTGAAGTCATATAAAATGGATACGTTTCTTGAAACGGAAAAATGTGAACTGAAATTTGAGGTCCCTGAAGAATGTATGCTAAAATGTTTATAGGCCAATATTTAGTCCATAATTTTAATCCCGTGAACTTAAAGGTAGAGTATATCATGCGCAGCTATCCAAAAAGTAACTGCCAAAATTATTGTTGAAAACCATGCTTGATAGATAGTAATGGCACTAGACTCCCTGTGAAATTATTCTTTCTGGCATGCTGTCATTTTGAAGAAAACAATAAAAGAATGTCATTTCCAAAGATGTGTCTAAAGACACATTTTTGGAAATTTCCGTTAGTAGTTCTTTTTTAATTCGGTGAAGCCGTGAATGGGTACGCGCAAGCTTTGACACGACGCACACGCGAGCACGGTTGCTATAATTCGTCAGTACAGTGCGTGACATCGCGTAGCTGCAATCAGCTGGATGAGAACGTGTCCCAGAGGCTCATTACGGGTGCAATTCAAAACATTACTTGGCAACCATATTAAATTGAAAGCAAGGTAAAATCTTCATTTTTGGAACTTGTGAATAGAAATAAAAGTAATGAAATAAAGTCAATTACACATCAATACCAATGTGCTCTGATGAATAATAAAAACATTGTGATTGAACATACCCTAATGTTTTAAGCCAGATTTATGAAAGACAGGCTTGGAACGCATAAATAGTCTGCCACCATCCCATTCAACAGTTAACGAGGCCTATTTACACATAACTGATTTTGTTGCAACAACTATGTCACGCGGCAATGTCGCACACGCGCGTGTGAACAAATTTGATTTTTAAAAAAATCCTGCGATAAGTCGCGTAAATGTGAAGACGCTCATTGAATCGTGCGCGCGAAATTATCGCGCAACAAAATTGCGTATACGTTTGTAAATAAAATTCAGGGAACACGATCAAAATGGGAAAGAAGCTGAAGGCTTAATTCAAAACTACACTGACCTTGGATGTGACCTTCCACCTTGCCGTCTGTGGGAAGTCATTGATTTCAAGTTCTTCCTCGTACTTCCGGAACACCTGTTTCTCCTTCTCCGCAGAGACCTCTTCGTCGGTGCCTCGCGGCACATAGTTCAGCTTAGCATTGATTTTTTCGGCCAACTGCTCTGCTATCGTTCGGCCCTGTTGGTAAGTAAGACAAATAAAATGCAAACTGCAGATTATGAGAAGTCTATAAAATCTGAGGAACCTTGAAGTTACTTCCTGCATTTGTTCCCCAAACAAGTTTTCTATTGGTGTGTCATTTAAAGAAAAATGTTTTGTCTATATTATGTGTCTTGACCCTCTGAAAAAAAGGCTGTTATTATGGGTTGCTTTTGCTTCTCATGAAAGAAAATTCTCTTGAACTATTTCCAGTTCCAAATAATGTGACGTTTGCAAAGTAACTATTCCATAACTAAATATGGCTAGATTTGTGGTTTTTTTTATGTCTCATCGCAAGTGAAGAAAACTTGTTAGAAAACAGCAATGTAAAAATATAAACTGTTTTGCGGGGTTCCTGCTAAAAACTGTGCCTTGCTAAATTTGCTTACTGAGATGGCCGGCGCTACCAGCGTATTGCCCTGCATAACGGCTTGAGCTGCCTGCTGCACCACACTGACTTGCTTCACACTCTCCAGATTCCGGTTAATGCGCTCCGCCATCTTCTTCGCGAGTTGCAGGTTAGCCTGGTTGATGTTGGCGGTGTCCACGGGCTTGGCCAAGGTTGGGTTGGGCAGGGACACCGAAATTTCATCGGCTGAGACCTCCTTGACACGTCGCTTGGACGCAAACATGTTCTCAATCTTGTCGTCAATCTAAAAGCAAGAATGATGGGTGGGTCGTCTCGTTACAGCACAAAATTTCTACAAAACTTTTGTGACATCTACAAACATGTGTCTTAAGAACTATTTGTCACTTAATAGTTTTCCACATGCAAAAGGCGGCTTATAAATTGCTCTTGAGTGTGATATATCATGACATTTGACATCTTCCCGCAACAAACACTTACGTCCATTCCTGCCTCCTCTTCGTCTGAGTCCTGCAGGCCCAGCGCCGCCTTCTGCAGTTTCTTCTTCTCGTTGGCCAGTTCACGCTCCGTGTCGTCAAACTTGAAGCCCTTGCCACTGAAACCGCTGTTCCGCATCACTTTCTTCCCTTCCTGGATCAAGAAGAAATTTAGATATTTGCCAAAATCCAACAACAACAAAACAAGACTAAGCTTGCCTGCCAAGCTGGACCCAAAAGTCTGAGTTTAAGTCAGGTTGGCGTAGCGGTACTTTCCTCGCGTTCCACCGCTGTGACCCGGGTTCGAATCCCGCCTTGGCCAATATGTGGATTGGGTTTTCAGTCCCGGCCTGATACCGTGGGTTTTCCCCAGAATATTCTTATGGGCTTTTCCTCCCACCTCTAAAACTGTAATTTCTTCTCACCGTCTCCTCTCTACAGGTTTTTCAGGCTTGCGAGCTACAGTGCCTAGGGCGCTTTTGGTCAGTCACTCAAATGCTCAGTCAGTTCGAGGAAAGGACTCTGCTTTTGTCTCAGTTTCTTTGAGTAGCTTGTGACTTGACCTGAGAATGGAGGACTTGTGATGGACTTGTGAGGAACTGTGAGGGCCTCGACTACAGCATTGTTGCTCAGACTTACTGATTTCTGTTGGTCACAGTACTCCGTCCACAGCGTCATTAGATCCGGAGGTGGCTTTTGCTCGCTCAGTTCCAATGCCTTGATGATGTCACCACAGTACCGTTGCTGGTCTGGCATGATGAACGTATAGGCAAAGCCTTTGTTTCCCGCCCGGCCTGTGCGCCTGTTGGGTTTGAGGGTGTTTAAAGGTATAGTCCATCATTTGTAATTTGTGCATTTTGTTCGTTTGAAGCAACAAAAGTGTTCAAAACCTAATGAAGGATACTGAACAACTAACCTGATGAAGTTTCAGCTCAGCTTTAGCTGTATATTTCGAGAAAAACAACATTCTAGATTCTCAATTTCAAATCAAAAGTTGCTGAATCATGTTTTGAATTATTTTGAATTGCAGCTATATGCGATGTCGCGCACTGATCCGACGAATTATAGCAACAGCACGTGCCTGTGCGTCGTGCCAATGCTTGCGCGCGCTTCGCCGAATAACAAAACGAACTACTAATTTAAATTTCCAACGGTGCTTCTTAAGACGCACCGTTGGAAAGGCCTTCTTTCGTTGATTACTTCAAAATGATAGCTTGCCAGAAAAAATAATTTCGCTGGAAGTTTAGTCCACTTACTATCTTTCAAACAAGTATGTTTTCAACAATAATACGCCAGTTACCTTTTCGGATGGCTGCAAATGATGGACTATAGCTTTAACATATTTGGCAGATTTACAGAGAGGATGAAGTTAATGTTATCGGGTGAAACTACAGGGTTTGAAAGTCTGTCTACCATCTACAAGACTACATGGTTAGTAGCTCCAAAAGAATTATGGACCAAATTGTTTTTCCAAGACAGCAGACAATTGCAGTTTGAATTAAAAGTGTGTTGATTAGGAAAGGTTTAAGTAATGTCATTTTTTGGGCCATTTTATTGTTGTAAATGGTGACTGGGAATCCTTGTGTACAACAACAGAACCATTGGTGTTGTATTGCCGAAGAATGCACCTGACCAGTTTACATAATAGTCCAGCGGATATGTGACAAAATATCGATGAATTGTGCACTTTTGCATAAAAGCGTGAAACTTGGCACAGATGTTTATATTCATGCGAGAAAATGTTTTAGATGTGGAGCCATCGCAAATTTACCCTTTTAGGGGCGTGGCATCCATTTAAAAAAAGGGGGGCGGTTCTTGTCGTGCCCGCAGTGAAAATGGTTTTTCCCACTTGTTACAATAGCAGGAAACTTCACAAAGACATAATTATATAGATTATTAGTGTTTTCCAGATTCGGAGCCACCACAAAAGTACCTTTTTGGGGGCGTGGCAGCCATTAAAAGAAAAGGGGGGTAATTATTATGCCCACTTTGGAAAACATTGTGCCCATATTTCATGAATGAATAAAACGTCCCACAGACGTTTATATTCATGACAAAAAAAATTCCAGATGTGGAGCCATCTCGAACACACCCTTTTAGGGGCGTGGCAACCATATAAGAAAAAAAGGGGGGCAGGGTTTTCATTATGCCCACCCTGGAAATATTGTTCCCACACTCATAGAGAAATGGAACTTTCCAGAAACATTGACATTCATAAGAAAAAAAATCCAGATGTGGAGCCATCTCGAACACACCCTTTTAGGGGCGTGGCAACCATATAAGAAAAAAAGGGGGCGGGGTTTTCATTATGCCCACCCTGGAAATATTGTTCCCACATTCATAGAGAAATTGAACTTTCCACAGACATTGACATTCATGAGAAAAACAATTCCAGATGTGGAGCCATCGCGAACACACCCTTTTAGGGGCGTGGCAGCCATATTGAAAAAAGGGGGGGCGGGATTCTCATTATGCCCAACATGGAAAAAATGTGCCCACATCTCATAAACGAATGAAGCTAATTCCCACAGACATTAATATTTGCGAGAAAGAAAAGTCACACGTGAAGCCATCGTAAACACACAGTTTTAGGGGCGTGGCAGCCATAGTAAAATGGGGGGAAGGGGGTTAGTCATGATGCCCCTATAAAGGAAAGTCATGCCTACCTTTCATTAATGGATTAAACTCCACACGGACAATATATTCATGAAAATCTTTCCTTTTTTTGTAATTTGAAGCCATCACAAACTTATCCTTTTAGATGCATGGCATCTATTTTTCAAAAAATGGGGGGGGGGGGTGCTACTAATCATTTGCCCACCATCGAACTTTCATAAATGACTAAACTTCACACAAACTTGGTGCAAGATAATAAATTCATATGTAGAGCCACAGCAAACTCATCCTTTTAGAGGTGTGAGGGGCCTACTCACTGTGCCCAAAATTGCAATTTTTATATTTTGTTGTTGATTTCTTATAATGTTGATTGGCCCATAACCTATATTATTTGGTAATACAATGACTTACACCAAAGAGCATGGGTAAGTACCGGTAGGCTAACCCGTGTTATAGGGTTCAATGTGTGTACTTGCACCTTTATTATCATGCACATCTAAATTCCAGAGTGATTTCATAATTACAAATACACAGCACACAATGGCAGCCCTAAACTCTAACATTTAACATTTAAGGGCCATGGAAATCCTTTTTTTAGGGGGGGGGGGGGTGTAAAATCCCCCTACCCCTTACCCGTTGCGCCGCATTGACAGCAAATTGGGTAACAACACGATGTACTCGCCTCACAAAGTGGCGGACACGTCCACTATGACTTCACATTCAATGAATCTGTGTACCCCCACCACACAACCCCTTTTGGTCTGTCAGAAAAAAAAGGCAGGGGGGACAATGTATTTGGAGAAGTAACACTAGTCTTTCCAGGACTAACTGAGGTACCCCAGTTTATACCCCAATTCAGATATTGCTGCAGTTGAAAGGTTAACAATAATTCTACAGACGACAGAACCAGTAACTGGGTTAATATAGATGAGGCAAGAATGCATAGTGAAAGAAAACAAAGGGTTTGTCAACAGTAACTTCCAACTATAAAGGCGGTCCTACTCCAACACATTAAACAGCTATATGGGGTGGATTTTATTATATGAAACGCGGTCAAAATTTTCCACGTTGTGCATATTGAGTACCCCCCCCCATTTTAAAAATGGACGCCGCGCCTCTAAAAGGGTAGGTTTGTGATGGCTTCACATTAAAAAAAAAAGATTTTTATGAATATATTGTCCGAGTGGAATTTAATCCATTTATGAAAGGTAGGCACAACTTTCTTTTATAGGGGCATCATGACTACCCCCCCCCCATTTTATTATGGCTGCCACGCCCCTAAAAGGGTGTGTTTACGATGGCTCCACGTGTGATTTTTTTCTCGTGAGTATTAATGTCTGTGGGAATAGCTTCATTCGTTTATGAGATGTGGCACATTTTTTCCATGTTGGGCATAATGAGAACCCCGCCCCCTTTTTTTTATATGGCTGCCACGCCTCTAAAAGGGTGTGTTCGAGATGGCTCCACATCTGGAATTTTTTTTCTCATGAATGTCAATGTTTGAGGAAAGTTCCATTTCTCTATGAGTGTGGGAACAATATTTCCAGGGTGGGCATAATGAAAACCCCGCCCCCCTTTTTTTCTTATATGGTTGCCACGCCCCTAAAAGGGTGTGTTCGAGATGGCTCCACATCTGGAATTTTTTTTCTCATGAATTTAAACGTCTGTGGGATGTTTTATTCGTTCATGAAATATGGGCACAATGTTTTCCAAAGTGGGCATAATAATTACCCCCCCCCCCTTTTCTTTTAATGGCTGCCACGCCCCCAAAAAGGTACTATTGTGGTGGCTCCGAATCTGGAAAACACTAATAATCTATATAATTATGTCTTTGTGAAGTTTCCTGCTTTTGTAACAAGTGGGAAAAACCATTTTCACTGCGGGAACGACAAGTCCCGCCCCCTTTTTTTAAATGGATGCCACGCCCCTAAAAGGGTAAATTTGCGACGGCTCCACATCTAAAACATTTTCTCGCATGAATATAAACATCTGTGCCAAGTTTCACACTTTTATGCAAAAGTGCACAATTTTTCCACATATCCGCTGGACTATAACTGGACTCGGTCCAACAGTCCATTGGGTATTTCGAGCCCTGCGATACGCTATATTGTCTTTATTTGTGCATCCTCAAATAAGTGCCGTACGCGAAATATAACGGGTGGGTAACTCTAGCTTTACCTAATGGTTTTTACGAGGTCGCACATGGTTTTATGGGTACCTCGGGGGTTCACATGCGAGTTGACCACCTGTTTCATTTTGCATTTTTCCCTTAACTTACCCCACTCTGTGAACGTAGTCCTCATAGTGATTGGGACAGTCGTAGTTTATGACTAGGATCAGCTGTTTGACATCCAGACCGCGTGCAGCGACTGACGTGGCAACCATCAGGGACACATTACCCGTTTTGAAATCCTGCAAGAATAAGAAGGAAAGGAATCTGGTTGAGGGCCTGTTAAGTCCCTTAATGGCAATCCAAGCCAAGCTGCCTAGATGGACCATAGAGCTTACCATCAACGCGGTAAATCAAATGGGAATCTTAGCACTCGGACTGAAGAAATTACGAGCATACATTACGCATGTGCATTGACTACATCTGTGTGTGTGAGGTACACTTGGTATATCTCGGGTCCGAGTATCAAGAATCCCAAGAGTGAATTTCATGCATCCATATTGTTGGTAGCGCCCTCTACCATACAGGCAGCTTGAGCACACTCACCATGGATGCACTGGGTGAATATAATTTTAAAGCCAGAGTCCATCATTTGCAGCTATCCAAAAAGTAACTGGCGTAATTATTGTTGAAAAACATACTTGGTTGAAAGATAGTAAGGGGACTAAACTCCCTGTGAAATTATTCTTTCTGGCAAGCTGTCATTTTGAAGAAATCAACGAAACAAGGCCTTTCCAACATTGCGTCTTACATGTAAGAAGCACTGTTGGAAATTTCCGTTAGTAATCCGTTTTTTTATTCGGCGAAGCGCGCGCAAGCATTGACACGACGCACATGCGTGCGTGGTTGCTATAATTCGTTGGATCGGTGGGCGACATCGCATAGCTGCAATCGGCTCAGTGAGAACGTGTCTCAGACGCTGAATTCAGGGCCAATTCAAAACATGATTCAGCAATTTTTGATTTAAAATCCAGATCCTAGAATGTTGTTTTTCTCGAAATATACAGCTGAAGCTGAGCTGAAACTTCATCAGGTCGGTTGTTCAGCACCCTTCTTTAGTTTTGAGCAGTTTTGTTGCTTCAAATGAATAAAATGCACAAATTACAAATGATGGACTATACCTTTAATCCAATCGTGGGCCAAGACTACCTACCTGGATGATGGAGTCTCTATCGTACTGGTCTATCCCGCCGTGCAGTGCCAGGCAGGGGTAGGATGCCCTCATCAAATCTTTCAGCAGACAATCCGCCGATTCCTGCCTCTCCACGAACACCAAGACGCTGCCCTCCTCCTGGTACATCCCAAGAAGCTCTAGCAATTTCAGGAACTTCTGTTCCTCTTCGAGGACGATCTGAAAGGGGAAAACGATGCCAATACAGAACTGTCCATGGATCTGCACTTTTAGAATATAGGTGCTTTGCAACCTAAATCTAGTGCAGTTGAGAAACCGCTGGTCGACTAGTAGCAACAGTTGCTTCAACAGAAGAAACAGTTGAACTTGTGTAATAGAATATTCAAGACCAGCTTACAAACGTTAGTCACATCGCTGGTACCAACATTTGGCCATCTACATCGTACAGTAGGAAGCCAGAGGAAAGTGACATTTTGTGATGAATTTTGACCTTCCTTGGACTAGAGAAGTTCATATTTTACTATCAGTGTGCAGGCTTAGGTTACATTACATAAGCAACCACTCAAAAATGATCATTGATCAAACCTTTGCATAACAATAAAGGTCAAAGGTCATTTGTCCATATGTACGTGAGTGTACAGTAATAATAATAATAATAATAATTATGTGTATAAAGCGCACATATCCACCAGTATTTGTGCTCAAGGCGCTACATCATTATTACCCTGCTCATTGGGCCAATGAAACATTCCAAAGACAATCTCAGCTCCCTGGGGAGTATACAGCTTGATGCTGTCATTTTGACACAAAGCAGCTAAATCAACCACAATAACCATCTCTGCCCTCACAGGTACCCATTTACTCCTGGGTGGAGAGAAGCAATGAGTGACAAAGTTCCTTGCCCAAGGGAACACTCACCATGACCCCAGGCTGGACTCGAACCCACAACCTGCAGAATTACCCACAGACCACGGATTCAATGCTCCAGACCACGAGGCCACGGCACAACCCTTTATAGAATGGTTATTGAAGCAGAAAATATTGCTTAGCGAAATTTATGCGCTGAGTATGATTCAGCTGGGTACCAATCAAAAGCAAAATACATTGCATGACACTTTGGCTGATGACCTGTTTTCTGCTAAAGTAAACATGTTTGTTACTAAGCACAGACTTACCACGTGCTGTTCGATGTCAGAGCACACCACACTCCGACCACCAACCGTGACTTCGATGGGTTTGGTGAGGATGCGGCGCGCTAGAGCTTCCATGGCTCGGGGAAATGTTGCTGAGAACAAAACTGTTTGCCGATCTGGCCGGATACTGTCAATGATCTTCATTACCTACAATGAAGATATTACAATAATATTAATAACTAAGACCCCTAACCACATTGCCAACAGTTTTTTGTGATCTACTCATTACAAACTATGGTTAGTATAAATTCAAATTTCTCTTTACGTGAAAATGTTAGCATACCAGGCTTAAAGATATAGTCCATCATTTGTAATTTGTGCATTTTGTTCGTTTGAAGCAACATTTTCAAATTCAAATCAAAAGTTGATGAATCATGTTTTGAATTGGGCCTGAATTCAGCATTCGAGACACGTTCTCACTGAGCCGATTGCAGCTACGCGATGTCGCGCACTGATCCAACGAATTATAGCAACTGCGTGTACGTCGTGCCAATGCTTGCGCGCGCTTCACTGAATAACAAAACAAACTACTAATTTAAATTTCCTACGGTACGTCTTAAGAAGCACCGTCGGAAAGGCCTTCTTTCGTTGATTACTTCAAAATGACAGCTTGTCAGAAAGAATCATTTCACAGGGAGTTTAGTCCCCTTACTATCTTTCAACCAAGTATGTTTTCAACAATAATTACGCCAGTTACTTTTCGGACAGCTGCAAATGATGGACTGTACATGTGGCTTTAATATGATAAGGTGAGTCGAATGGAACATTCCATTTTTCACCGAATAAATTATGCTTGTGAAACATCTATTATTTTGTTATACAACATCGGAATAAATCCGCGTTATCTGATTGGTCAGAGTCACCAGTCATGTGACCGTGCAGCCGGGCCATGGGACGATTCATTTAATGACATGTGATCAACGGCCTACCAATAGGATGACAGGAATTTAATCAGGCGTTGTATAATACCTTTTCAAGAGTGTGGCGATTTGAAATCAGAATGAAAAATATTTACCTGCGGTTCAAATCCCATGTCAAACATTCTGTCGGCTTCGTCCAGAACGAGATACGTGCAGCGCCGCAGATTGGTCACACGGCCTGGGAGTTAAACATGTTGAGGTTGAGACAGATGGAGAGACACAGCGAGAGGGAGACGGTGATACAAGAGGGTGGGGGGATGACAGACAGAATGGTGCATGGAGAGGTAGGTGCATACATGCAAGAAAGAACATTCATGTTAGCAATGATTTTGTGACATGATTGAGGAGAACAGATGCAAAAGAGGAAACAGAACCAAAAAAAAAGTGGACGCCAGAATATCAAGCATTGCATGAAGAGAGAGAGCATGGGAAAAAACAAACACAGACAAAGACAAACAAACAGACCAAATGAAGGACAAAAATGGATTAGGCACACAAATTCGGGAAGAGCCATGCAGACAAATGGAAAAAGAAAGGAGAGAAAAAATAAAGAAGAAAATAAAATTAGTTTCCTTGTATTTCATTTCAGTTGAGACACATAATATATGTATCAAACGGAACAAGTATAAATCATGATTGCAACAAGTCAACAGGTTAAAATATTTCAATGATTTACACCGAATGAAAAAATCATGTGGTGCCATTTACACATAGTGAACAAGGAAAAGAGTAGGGTTTGAATGCATCTGATAAATTAATGCCATATCTGGCCTGAACAGAACCTGACATAATTCTTAACCATTAACTCAAACAAAGCTGAATTCAACAATATCGTACAGTGAGCTTGTTTTCTGTAGAATTTTAATTGATCTGAGCAGTGAACAAAACAGAGGTTTGTTTAGGGGTGTGCATTTACCGGTAGTATGGGAATCGGGAAGCCGATTGAAAAAAAACCCAACGGGTACCTGGTACCCATTAAAGAACCCTGGGTACCTATTATGGAAACCCAGGTACCCATTATGGAAACCCGGGTACCCATTATGGAAACCCGGGTACCCATTATGGACACCTGGGTACCCATTATAAAAACCCAGGTACCCATTATGGAAACCCGGGTACCAATTATGGAAACCCGGGTACCCATTATGGACACCCGGGTACCATTATGGAAACCTGGGTACCCATATGGAAACATGGGTACCCATTATGGACACCTGGTTACCCATTATAAAAACCTGGGTACCCATTATGGAAACCTGGGTACCCATTATAAAAAGCCGGGTACCCATAATGGAAACCTGCATACCCATTATGGAAACCCGGGTACCCTTTATGGAAACCCGGGTACCCATTAAAGAAACCCGGGTACCCATTAAAGAAACCTGGGTACCCATTAAAGAAAACCAATCCCAAAATGTAAATCTCAGAAGTTGCTGTACAGATTATTCATAAAGGTCCGCACGATAATATTACCACATCAGTGCGTCAATATAGCAATATACACGAGTGTACAGTGAGCTCAATATGTAGCTTTACAGTGTAAATTGCGTTTTCGCAAGCGTCATAATTGTGAATCATTTTTTTGTTTTTCCTTGTAGCCTGGTTGTCATTTTGAAAATCTCCACAAATGACATTCCAAACCTTTCTTTTTCATTTTCTGAAAAATTACTAAGTAATAAGTAAATTTGGTTGCGGTACTCGATTCTATATTCTGGAACCGGTTCCTGACATCAGTGGTCGGGTACTCAGACCCGATGCACAGCCCTAATTTTGTTCAAGCTTCTGAAGAGAATTAACACGTATAGCTAACTATTGGATATTGATAGATTCAGCAAAGGCCCAGCAAAATACTCAGATCAGCATCAAGATAATTTTAGAATCCATTCCCTCAAAAACTGTATACGTCAACTGTTCTGGCAATGAGATCACAAGGTCAAACTGGCAATGACCTTCTGTTAAAAGGTCGCGTATTAACCATTAATGACACCATGGCTCTAGTGACCCAGCAGACTGCTTTGACCTTTTCACCTTTCAACTTCAACCTGTCGGGGATAGAATTACAAAAAAGAGATTACGTGCCTTATGTGATATCTAGTGCGCTTAAACTAATTGAAAACAGGATTAAAAAGTAATAGCTTCTCATTTCAATAACACAAAAGTTGGATTGTCCTGATTTTTTTTACAGATTTCTGTGCAAAATTACCGTCTTTTATCAATGTAATAATTTCTTAAGTTTGGTTGTGTGTTCTTTTTGTGTCAGTTTTCACATGAGCAGCATCCTGTTGTGTCATCTCAACCATCAAACTCTTCCTCAAAACATCTAAGATAAAGAGAAGGGATCCAGTTAGTTCCCAGGAAGTGTTAAATATTTCAATCACCACATTTCAATTTGTTGGTTCCCCCCCCCACCTTTTTGATAGCAATTTTTTTTATCTAAACACTCTACAAGTATGTCAGAATTGTGGCAAAAAAATAAAAAAGATTCCAGCAAGAAAAATCTTAAATAGTATTAAAGATCACAAAAATTATTATTGACGTTTTCATGTACTGAATTCAAATCTTCGGATATACTCGGTTTGGCGCGACTGTAGAATGCCGACTGAAACAAGTGTTAAGGCCGATTTACACAAACGCGACTTTGTTGAGCGACGATGTTGCGCGTCTGTCAAAGTACGCAGAATTCAATGAGCGCGTTCACATTGACTCGACTAAGTCGTGCCTATTATCTCTAATCAATTTGTGCATAATTATTTTTAAAAATGCGACATTGTCGCACGACAACATCATGTATGTGTAAATTGGCCTTTATGCTCATATGAGGTTTGCTAATTCTGTGTGGATTAAGTTCAGTTCAATTTCAAGTTTCTTACCATTGTTGGCGGCCAACATGTCAATCATCCGCCCTGGTGTGCAGACGATAATCTCTGCCCCTCTCTTCAACTCTGCAATCTGTGCCGGAGGAACAAAAAAAAAAATTATCATAGAAATTGGAAAAATTTTTCAGGCCATATTTTAAATCTTGACCTTCTCTCCAGATTCAGCTCTATCTCTTGCCATTGGATCAATAAGAAAGGTTTGACATATTTCAAGTCCAAAACAAATGGCAAAAATGGAAAATGCGATCCAGCTGGAGTGTAGTGGAGAATGCACTGGCCCAAAAGACAAGTGATCAACCCTGGAGTACCATAGAGAGATTATCTGCAATGGTACTAGGTTAACCCTAACCTTCCCAAATCCTCCAAAATCCTCTTTGCAAAATGGAGGATTTTGCAGGATTCAGGCTACATGGCAAAAATGTACGGCTGATTTTGGAAGATGCACAAGGTCTTGGGCTGGACCTTGTGTTGTTTATGCTCAGCCATGCAGAAATTTAGGCCTAGATTATACTTGAAATCCTCTGCACTGCTCCTGCATATCACTGGCCTCAACATCATATTGACAGCGATTGCTGGAAGATTTTGCAGTATCGAGGCAGTGGTCACCCTTATTTAAGAAATAATGGATGATTTTGGAGGATTGAGGCTGTATGCATTTTCTACATGGAGGCAGTTGGAGGATTTTTCAGGATTGAGGTTGCATCCCAGCAAAAATGGATAGGGAGTTAGGGTTAACAGGTTAACAAGGCCTGCGGAGCTCACTACAGACTTGTCTACTTTGATATGTTTATTGCCAACGAGCACTGGACAGAAGACTTGGTAAAGTGGCACTTTATGGAGGGAAGTGCAAGCACGCAGTCCTTTTTGGCAAATACTGAAGTAAATCAGAGGGTGTGGTAGACCTAGGGTCATTGTACTGTCGCCCATCACTGGTACTCACCTGCTCACTGATTCCCGTTCCCCCATACACACAGATGGCGTTAAGACCAAGGGCCTTGGTGAACTTCTTGCATTCCCGGTAGATCTGCATGGCCAGCTCACGTGTTGGGGTCAGTATCAAAGCTAAAAGGCCAAAGGTTAAAGTTCAATGTACTTTTCTTTGGGGGGGGGGGGGGACTTTAAACATTTCTGATGTGTCCTATCGGAAACAAACTCTTGCAGAAAGCCAGTGGAATTGAATTTTCAATACATGCGAAATATGGATCTTACACTTAAAGGGGCACTAGGTCCTGAAATCCCCAAAAATTTCATGTTTTGGATTGTTTACTTATCCTATTTCAAACATGTGGTTGAAAGGAAACCAACCTAATGTCTTACCGTTCCCGAGAAAAGATGAAAAAAAACCGGTTGTTTACATCGGACATGACAGAGTACGAATACATTTTTCGTGTCGTTCTCATACAGTGTACGATATATACGTTGTGTGTCTCGGGAACAGCGGTGACCAATCACCAATGCAAAAAAAATGTCGTTTCTTCAACATCCGCAAAAGGCGAACACTTTACGTGTACGAATGAAATCGCTTAACGCGTACGTATGAAACTAGCATCCAAACGGCTCGAATTTATGGGGTTACAAAAGTGGACCCCGAAATTTGTTCTTGCACCCATAATACAGGACTAACACAAAAACGACAAGTTTTTAAAGGATAGTTGTGTGGATGTTTCTATCCTAGTTTTAAATGTTCTTTCCGGTTAACATAATTTCGTTCAAAGCAGGTTTTGTAGCCCAATTGGGCTGTTTCAGGACCTAGTGTCGCTTTAAATGTTGATTTAATTTTTCACATGGACTTTCCTCAGCAAACATATGCCCATTTAAAACCTTGTCACCTCCACAAAACATCCCAAAAATTGCCTTTGAGGCACAATTAAGGTCTGAAACTTTTACAATATACTTTAGACATATTTAGGATCAAAATGTGCAAAACAAAACAACTGAAAGTTAAAAGAAGAATCCGTTTATTTTTGTTGTTGTTTTATCTCCATTTCAAAGTCTGGCCAGAAGTATCTGGTTTTGACCAGCGTCTTATCCATGTTGTAGGAGATAATCTGCAACTAACAACAGAGAAACTGCAGTCTTTTCATTTCTTCTCAGCAATAGCTGCCAACTTACAGATGGGACCCTCGTTCATCTCCAGGGGATCCTGGTCAATGATGTGTCTGAACATGGGCAGGAGGAACGCGATAGTCTTGCCGCTTCCCGTCTTGGCAATGCCGATGAGGTCGCGACCCGACATGATCGCTGGGATAGCCTGGGCCTGGATTGGCGTGGGCTTCTCGTATTTATTCCTGAAGAAGGACAGATGCAAAGATATAAAACAAGTTTTCTGTTAATTTTTGACACTTGATACTTGACATGGGCACAAACATACAAAAACTGTATTTTGATCAATTACTCATTCTTTATTTCAATAACAGAAAGTCATCTTTTGCACCATCAGATATGAAATCTCTGGTGGGTGTGGTTTTGAAAAGAACCAGAGGAAACTCAAGGAGCTATGCACCTGGCAAAAAAGAACTAAGCAGTTTTTATAATCATCCTTGTTTGGACATTTCTCGGTGAATATACGTTTTGTCACGGAAACTTTCTGGTTCAACTTGATATCCTCCCTTGGGAACACTGTTTAAGAAATAACAAGAGCTCAAGCACTTAGGGTCCTGCAACTTTTAGTTATGGGGTTTCAGGTTTCAGGAGCTTCACAAGGGCGGATCCAGGGGGGCCAAAGAGGGCCATGCCCCCCCCCCCCACCCAAAAAAAATCCATTCTTTTTTTTTAAGTGACTTTGCAATAAAGGCATGCAATGAGTACACCACCATCTTTTTCTCAAAAAACATTGGTTAAAGTGGTCAGAAATTGCCTCAGATCGTACCACAGAGCATCTAGAATCCAAAACATTTTGGGGCCCTTAAGCGGGCCCCGAACCCCACGCTGTAATTTTTTTGGACACACTTTTTGGGGACTAAATTCGTTTTGGGCCCCCCCCCCAAAAAAAATTGTGTTCTGCCCTTGGAGCTTCAGCGTTTGCGCTCTCGTTATGTCTTACACAGTGTTCCCAAGTGAGGTATCAAATTGAACTGGAAAGCTTCCCTGACAAAACGTAAATTTCACATTTTTTGTTCACCGAGAAATGTCAAAACAAGGAGGATTGGGCAACTGCTTAGTTTCTTTTTGTGCCAGGTGTGCAGTATGCTCTGCCTGTTGCCAGTCTCGTGACAAAATTATTTTCCAGAACCCCACATAAAGACAACACAAACATTTCTTGTCGCATTGCACAAACTTACTCTTATTATAAATGATTTCACCATGCACACCTTCAATTGTATTTGTATCAGTTTTGGTTTCAAAACAACTAGCAACTGTACTAAACTGTATTACATTGTGTTTATTCACTGAAAAATCAATAAAAACCCTAGAGTGCTCAGGCCAGTGCTACAGTGACTACAGGGTAATTAAACAGCGGATTTTTTTTTTTTTTTATTGCACTGATTTTCGTGAAAATCCCTGCCAGCCATCACAGTGCCATGCTTGTTCCACATCCTTTTGAACATTTTCTGTGGACAGAATTTCCAATTTAAAAGTTTTATTTTTTAAGTATGTACTCTGGCACCTTCTGAAAGGAAGCCTTCGTTTTTACCAAGCAGTATTCAACTGAAATAGTAAGCATGTCATCTTGACATCAGAAGATAAACACACAAGACTTACTTTTTCAGAACAGACAGCACTTTGCTGGAGACGCCACACTGCACCCAAGCATCGATGGGCTTAGGACAGCCCTTCCCTCGTACTTTGATTCCTTCCATGTCGGCCCGCTTCACGTCAGCCTCTGTCATTGAAAGTTACAAAAATACAAAGGAATACAACATCAAAATGTACACATTCCAACACAAGATAATAAGTCTCGTTCAAATGACGTCATTTCCTACAGACCATCCCGTGCATCGGCATTTTGAGCGTCAACTTGCATAACGCGCATCGGCTGCGTCGTATTTCAATCACATTTCGAGCAAAAAGCGCGCGTGTTTGGAACATTTTCAACACTGTGCAATGCGTGCTTGATTGTGTAAAATGCGCAGTTGCAGTTCTCCTACAGAGATGGCCGTCATTGAGCGAGCCCTATGGACTTTTCCAAAATTTGGCCATAAGCTCCGCCCATCTCTCAGGGTTTATGAATGAGTTTGACTCGGCTATTCTCGTCACCTGACATGATGCCGTGATATGATTGGTTAATGCTCATTGCTTGATTGACAAACAGGAAAGGTTCATGAAAAGCTGCTTTAACAATAATCAGATGTTGCAAATCTAAGACTTTATAACTTAATTTAGTGTTTGTTGTGCCTCTTGGGGACGTTTTGGTTCTTGAGATATCAATGTTTGAACAAGTCTGCTTTTTTGCATAGTTCTGAAAACTTATTGCGCAATGCAATGATTAAAAATATAATAAAATAAGCAATGTGAAACCCAAGTTGTGCAATTAAAATATGATATATAATAATCTTATCAAGTCTTTTTAGGTAACAGTACACAATTCGTCACCGTTTTCACGAAGGGATGGGCATGTCAAAATGACAATTTTTTCGATTTCGAGTTTTTTCGCTGTTTTTAAAACATGGTACTTAAGCATTCTGACATGTTTTTGTAAGCCAAACATCCTTAAAGGAAACATGCAGTCCAAAATTTTCATAACGTATTTTATTTTATATATACCTTCATTTATGTGTATTAAATGTGAATTAAAAGCAGAACTGGTTCTGGTGTACGTTTAGTGTGGTAATTTGCCGTCCAAAATTGAACCCCCCCTTTTGATTTTTGCGGCAACTCCAAATGAGGGCGCTGTTCATGACGTAAAAAAAGGCAGAGAAATCCAGGGCCCGTAAATGACATCTGGGTACGAGACGGATTAGCGAAGCTACTGTGCTGTGTGTATGTGCAGCCGCCGCGTACCCGTACGTGGCATTATATGCACCCGTACGAATGTGTCTACATGTACAGTACACGTGGACGTGCCACGGTGCCACCGTTGTCGAATGAACACAACGACGACCGTCATGACCGTGAAAGTTCCGAAAACCGTCCTCTTCTTGCCTTAGCGAATCCGATGAAAATGGTACAGATTCGTCCGATTCCAATCAGAGTTCTAATGATTCAAACACTGACTCGATGTTTTTTAGGGGCATGCCCTTGTTGCTGTACAGACCAGCATCAAAACACGACGGCTCAAAGTGCAGCGCAGAGGGCCGTGAACTCACTGGGCCCGGACCACTTTCATGACTTTGCTCTGGTATTTACCTTCACTTTGGCTCTCCAAATGCTCCGATATTTCGGATTTACTGGAAACAAATGCAGGCTTACGCCATCCTTGGTAGTTTTGCTACACCCAGCAGCCACACACCTTGTCGGCATGGCCGAAAATCGGGTGTTATTTCTCCTCGATTCCGAACGAAACACCAGAAAAACTTTCAGTGCCGCAATGTATATGTACATGTATTATGATGCACGCCGCAATGCCGGTGCCCCCGCAGCGCGGCAAGTCGCTGCCTTAACTTGCGTCATACCCCTCGCGAAGTTTTATGTTAATGAAGCTTCCCTTTGTGGGGCGGAGTAGTTTGACCAAACATGTTCACAAATTATTTTCCCCCATTTATCCCAGAAAATAAACACCGCCATACACAAAATATTGTTGAGAACATCATCCTTTATTGATTTAAGCAAAAAAAATGCAATCAAAATTTAATTTCATGTTCCCTTTAATTCCTGAATAACATTAATGACATCAGGGCAGGCATCTCGATAATTGCATTTTGCGATTTCACGAAGAGACGCGAACATGCCTGCCCCCATGAACACGTACAAAACGTATTGCACGGAAAGGCAGTAAAAGTAGGTCAACGGAGATTTTCGTTTTCACGAAGGGACGGGCATCTTTACTAATTAATTTGGGCTAATTAACCACTATATTAATTATAATTACTGAGTTCAAATTAAAGTTTACCTTTCAAAGAATTACGTCAAGGTTTCCTTACTGCATAAAGTTGTTGCAAAGAAGTAGTTTTTGCTGTTTTAAAAACGGAGAAACTTCTCTTGCGATTATCTCGAAAACGTTTTTTCTTCAAAATCCACATGCCCGTCCCTTCGTGAAACCGGTGACGAATTATGAAAAATAAAAAAAATTCAAGCCCTTGAAAAGTAAATGCAAAGATTAACGTACCTTCAGCTGTCATTTTAGCCAACTCTGGCACCTCAACGTAGAAGTTCTTGTTGAACGGTTTGTACTCTATCTTGGAGTGGTCTACCGTGGCTAGCTCTTTCTTCTTTCGTTGTTCCAGGGCGGCTACCTGGTCCATAAGGTTCGATTCTTTCTCATCCTCCGACGAATACTGACACCAAAGAAAAAGTCCACAGATTAATGACAGAAACAGTAATTATGCACCTATTAATTGTAAAGACAGGCCCCATTGGCCCAAGGAGAGGAGGGTCATTGTCCAATAGCGAGTCGTCCTTTTTTAAAAAATCTACACACCTCCTGCTAAGTGACGCACCTTTAACAGATTGTAAAGCACCTACTGAAGAAAATTGACGCACCTATGACGTGCCCCATAAATTCTTTAACCTCAAAAGTACCATTCTCAGGGGTCATGGGGCTTGTCTCACAAAGGACAAGTGCATTAGGCAGCATAAAAAAAAATCCCAGTTTCTCATACGAAAATTGGCGCCCACACATAAAAATTTGGGGCCGCATTCGTTTTTTTGGGGGGGGGTTACTCTTTTTTATTTGAAAAAAAAAATTAAAATAATAATGAACTAAAAAAATAAAAATATTAATTATGTTTAACTCCTGATGACCAAAACAAAAAGAAAACAAAAAACAAACAAACCTCCATAGCATCTTGGTCATTTTCCATGAGTTCGCCTTTGGTCAGTTTGTCAATGACGATCGGAGCAGCCTTTTTCTTGACCGCGACCCCCGTCATGATGCTGACCTTTGACTTCTTGACCTATGGAAAGAATAAGGTCAAATTAGAGGTCACAATCTTGAATAAGATCTAAGATTAACGTCAGGTCACAATGACGGGCGACACCCTCCACCTTTCTGAAATCGTTGTTAAGCATCTCCACCCTCCCTGATTTGCCAAATAGCATGCCCAAGCACACAGCATTGCCAGCAGTTGGATTCAAGTCCTTGGATTCGAGTCCTTGACCCTAATTACATTTACAAAAACATTTCCTAACAGCAAATTGCTTAACAAATCCCAGGTTGAATAGCTTGCCAGAAAGACAAAGTATCGCTACCAGTTGGATTAGCGATACCTCTAACCCTAACACCACAATTCAAGAATCCCATCACGAACACCAACAGTACTCTTCCACTTACTTCTCCATTTCCCTCGGTTTGGTCTGTAGCCGGTACCGCGATGGCCTTATCACCCCCTGGCATCTTCTTCCGGTCACTCTGGTTGATCTTCTTGACCTCTTCATTGACTCCCAGCATGAAGGCGTCCAGCGGGTCGACATCATCGTCTTCTTCTTCCTTCTTGGCAGCCGCAGCCGCGGCTGCGGCCTGCTCCTGCTTGAGCTCCTTGGCTCGTATCTTCTCCTCCATCTTGCGCCGAGCTTCCTCCATCTTCTCCCTCGCCTCGTCCAGTTCACTTTTTGGCTCTGGGACGGCCGCCTCGGTCTTGACGATGCCATTCTCAGGCTCCACCTTGGGTTCTGGCTTTGGTTCCTCCGAGGTCTCCATTTCCTACGCAAAACGGTAGTATGAGAATATTAATCTCAAATCTCACTGAGTGATACCCTGCTGCCTTTTCCAAGGTTTTACGTATTGTTTAAATTTGCTCTGTAATCCATCCCAACTTGATCTCCTCTTCCGCTTCAACCACAAATCCATTCCCTCACTCATCCTTCCCAAACTAACTTCCTCTTCAGCCCCCAACCCAGAGACCTTCCCCGTACATTAATTACATGCTTCAGTTTCCGCTTCAACCGTTAGTCCTTCCCCTCTCATCCATCTCTCCCAAACTGACCTCTTCTGCTTCATCATCTGCATCATCGTCACCGTCATCATCGTCTTCAAGGCTCCACTTCTTCCCACTTGACTTGGCCATGGCCTCTGCCTGTAGTTGAGCCTCGGCCTTGACCGCAGCCATGTCTACCGTTTTCTTCCGTTCCTGTCGCCATCGTTCAATGCGCTCCCGTCTTCTCTGCATTTCTTCTTCCAGACGTTTTTGCTCCTGTAAGATGAGACAAGGAAAACCAAATGTTTCTTGAAGCTAATAAGCAAAAAAACGTTGTTCAGCAAATTCACGTGCAAAGGTGAAATAAGTTGAGAGAGCCTGTCACAAACAGTTTAAGTCGTTTGACATTTTGGCTGATAACTTGTTTTTGCTATATCAAATTATATTCTGGGCCGGGCAACTTCCTGTGCTTTAACAACTCCATGTATAAATTGGCCCTTGAAGAACGAACGATGTAGTTTAGAACTGACATCAAACTCTGCGTAATTTTTGTCTGAAAGTATTGTCGTGTTATTGTGGGCCTTTAAAGGGTCCATTAAGATAATTTTTCTGAGGAACATATTTTGGGCAACCTTCTAGCCTCCTAAATGTATGAAAACATTTGACATCCCTTTTTGGTTGACTTTTTTGAAAAGCGCATTTTTTTAAACAGTTACTATTTTCCTTGCTTCTCCGGACAACTGAGGGCGCTGTTGCCGCGATGTTACGTCAGGAAGACACTCTTCAATAAGAGGTTTTTTGTTCAAATTGTGAACCCAATAATTTGCTAATTGAAAACATCAGTGAGAGAAATTTGGCTTACTGGGAAAGAATGTTGCAACCTGACGCTGATTTTTTGTTCATATATCATCTCAGTGGAGGTCAGTCATTGCAAAAAAGACGATAAGATAGGAATCTGGGACTGAAAAACATTTCCATTTTTGTTAGGAAATACATAAAAAAAATTCTTGACTCTCCACACACTTTGTACACAACCACCGAAGTGGCGTCAGGTTGCAACATTCTTTCCGCTTACTGTCATGTAAAATACCCTTCAAATACCCTTGAAAATGCCAAAACAAAATCTGAAAATAAGGTTAAATGGGACACAAAGGTGCATTTCCAAGGACTGCATTTAAAAAAATACATTACATGGGCCCTTTTTACAGCACAAAACAAAAACAAAAAATCACTGCACCAACTGAGAATGCAAATAAGTAGAGGGGGATACACGGTCATGTAATACACAGAGCCAGTGTTCTCCAACTTTGAAAATTAAAGGTTGGCGCTGGGGTCGGCGGGGACTCCTGCGAGCGCGGAGCACGAAGCCCTTATGGCGTGGGGTCCGGGGCCCGCTTAAGGGCCCCGGGAAAATTTTGGATTCTAGATGCTCTGTGATGCAATCTGAGGCGATTCTCCAGGCCAGTTCCCCCGATTTTGTTAGCATTCAAAAATTTCCTTTTCAACCTAAAGCAGACTTCTCTCAGATCAAATGAAACCTTTTTGTAATTTTGAAAAACAAAATGGGATACAAATTACGGGTTTTTTTACGCGATTTTATGGGTGGTGCCGGTGCCGTGCGATCGTCATCTTTATTTTCATGTTGCGTTTTGTCGTTGTCATCGTCATTTCCCCCCCAAATTTCCCTCTATTTATGACCTACCTGTATGTTCTTAAATGTCGCCAACTAGTTTGGTAAGTCAAATAAATTAAAAGTGGATTTTGTTCTCTTAGGGAACCGGGCCCATACACGATCGCCATTTATAACTTTGACAATCGGCATGATCGGAACACCATGTGCACGCGTGTTTTGGCCTCGAGCTCATTTGCCTCGTACAAGAACATCAATGCGTATTATATTGTGTACCGCGCGTGCAAGCACTGAGAAAAAGAAAGTCGGTTGGCTGCACGTAAGATCTGCCGTACGTACTCCTGCTGGTGTGTGTGTGTACTAATACAGATATATATTTTTGCGGCGGGGTTGTCGCTACTTGAAGTATCGGCACACTCCGGAACTGGGGATTCAGTTGGCAGTGTGGACGTGTGTACATCGCGCGTAATAGTATAGTACGTCGGTGCATGGGGAATCGCTGGTGTTTGCACGGCCGGCCGTGCTATTCAGCGAGATTTTAAGACAACCCCGATCGGGCTGGGATGACATCGAAATACATTGTTAATGTGTGGAAAAACAACTGAAATCAATTATTTTAGTTGTAAATGTACACTGTAGAGTCAAAAAAATTAAACCTGGCGGCAGGATTTTAAAGCTTGGCGGGGACTTCTTGGCGGGGCATGGCGGGGCGCCAGGTTTTGTTCTACATGTTGGAGAACACTGACAGAGCCTATTAAGTTTATAATATAACTTACCAATGGCAACCCTTTCTCTTCCTTCACCTTTGGCTTTGCATCTCCTTCCTCTTTGACCTCTGACCCCGCCTCCTTCTTGACCTCCGCATCTTTTTCATTCTGCACTCCAGCTTCTTGCTTGACCTTTGGCACTTCGCCAGGAGCAGCTGTGTCGTCTGGAGCAGCCTTGGAGCTCCGTTTGGGGCTGTGGGACGGGGAGTGTCGTCTCCGGTCACCGCGCTCCCGGCTCCGGCTACGACTGCGTGATCGCCGTTTCTTCCGCTCGCGACTTTTGGAGCGCGACCTGCGTCTGTCTCTGCTGCGGGAGCGCGAGCGCTTGCGTTCTCTGCTTCTTGACCGAGCCCTATATATATCGCGAACAAAACAAAACGAGAACAAAAAATTTCACTGCAGATTTCTATTTCTTGCTGTCTGTTCTATGGGTTTTAAGGTTTGGAAAAATTGGTCTCCACAAATACTTTTTGTGAAAACCTTTCAATGTCTAAAAACCTTTCAATGTCTTCAAACCGCAACATAAATAAATCTCACTGACTGGAATTCAACTGAGCGTATCACTCCATAATTCACGACATTCTAGATCCATGAATCCGTGAAAGTCAGTGACTTAACTCTGTGGATATCTGCTAGAAAGCTGACAAGAGATGAGTCAATATCTACTGTAACATCAATTGATTGTTTTAATTCCATTTAACTGTTAAATTACAACAAACGATTACTTCTTAAGACCGTTTCACCAACCTCCTTTTCCTGTTCCTCTCTCGTTCACGTTCCCGTTCGCGTTCTCTTTCTCGCTCCCGCTCCCTCTCACGTTCTTTTTCCCTTTCCCGTTCCCGTTCCCGTTCGCGTTCTCGTTCCCTTTCCCTCTCCCGCCGTTTTTCCCGTTCCCGGTCCTTTTCCCGTTCCCGTTCTTTTTCCCGTTCTCGCTCCTCCCGATCCTTAGACAGGGACCTCGATCGCCGGCTCTTGCTGCTCTTAGAGGGGGTCCGAGATCGTGACCTGGACTGCGATTTCCTGGATCGGCCTTTACTCTTGGACGACTTCTTTTCTGTCGGGCTCCCTGCCCGCTCCTTCGACTTGGACCGCCTGCTCTTGCTTTTAACTGGTGTTTGGGACCGAGACCTGGACCCCGAGTCCTTGGTTTTGCCTTTGCTTTTGGAACTCTTCTTGTCAGAGGGGCTGGCTCCCCGGTCCGGGCTGGGTGAGCTACCTGAGGTAGACGGTGAAATTGAGCGAGACTTCCTTCTGCTTTTCGGTTTCTTCCTTGAGCGGCTTGAGCGTTCTGTACTGGAGGCAGAACTGGAGCGTGATCGTCTCCGATAGTGCCTAGTATAAGGAAAAAAAAGAAAGAGGATATTTTTTACTTGAGACTAACAGTTAATCAATGCTATTGGCTGGCTTGTTCAACAGGAACTTGCAATTTTGGCGATTGTGTAGTTATGGGCCCCTCTGTAGTTTTGTTCAAATTAGAGTCACAGATTTTTTTTATCATTCCAAAATGACTTTTTCGACATAAAGGTGAGCAGACTTCTCTTCATTCTAGTGACACCATTTTTTGTAATTTTGAACAGTTTCTTGTGGTAGAAAATGCGATTTTCTTAGGCAGAGTACTCAGACAGACCGGCACTGCACTAAACATGCGCAGTTAAGTGTTTTTTATGGACTTAGAATTTTAACGTGACGAATCTCTGTCTGGTTCCATGCTTACGTTGTATTCACAAGATGGGAATCAGACCTAATGCGACATCGGACTTTATTTCCCTTTAAAAAAAAAAATCCCCTTGAGCCACAAATCAGAAATAGAAGATCATGAAATATTTTGCAAATTAAATGTGGGATTCGATTCAAAACCAATAAAATAAGACAATTCTTACATTGTGAGACACAAAATATAAAGTTTCAAAACAACAGCAAGGCTTGTACTCGAACTCCAGTGGCGTGCTTGCAAGGCGGGTGTGCAAAATCACCACTGCGAATCTATAACACATAACTCACATTTACAATTACAACTTCCCGTCCAGCCAGAACGCTTTGGTAGCTCGATTGGTTACACATTTGACTACCACTATTGAGCCGGAGATCCAAGTTCAAATCCCAAATCCGCTGCCGCGCTGTTAATAATAAGGCGTTTCACGATAATGTGCGCCATGTTACCGACGGGGCAATTTGACAAGCGTTGCTGTGTAGGGGCCTACACATCATCAATGGAAAAATTTGGCACTTCCAAGTCATGCGGTCATTCTAAAATGTGCCAGCGTCTACGGTCTAGCAACACGTGTTCTTTTAGCAACGTAAAACAAGCATGTCAAACAAGATGGCATATACTGTGAAACACTAAATAGATTTCGTAATCCGTGGCTTGGCCTTGGAAAGATTTTTTTTAAAGAGGAAATAAAGTTCGAGAACCATAGTCTGGTTCCAAACTACAGGTGTGTTCTTATTCCTCCATGAGTAACCAAAGATCTTGATGTTGAATACCATGCCGTAACGATAGCCGTTGAAAATTGCGTTCATGTTACGGCTGCCGTAACAATAGCCAGCGCCACTGCGTTCCCCAAAACTGCCACCAACCAACCAAGTTACGTCACACTGCTCACCTGTTTTTAAGCGGCATTATTTCTTCTTAAATTCAATTAATAGTCTGCAAACACTTTGCCTCAAAATCGGAAATTTTGACAACTTCTGCTGTACGGTTTAGTTATTTTCTAAACGTTTTGTTCATCTTCAGCAGACTTCACTTCAGTCGAGACTCACGCTTTTTGTAGCTTGCTTGATCGCTTAGTACGCCTGGGTGCAAGACCTACCTATGCTGCAACGTTGGCGCCACCACCGTCAAGGTTCGATTTTTGCATTCGGGAATATCAACAGAGGGCGTACTAATACTAGCATTTTATTGACATAGAATTAACCATAGACGACACCCCCCCCCCCCCCCTTCCCTCCAAAAAACAAATAAGTAAAAAAGTAAATGAATAAATAAATAAATAAAAGAATACTCACAACTCTCCAAGTTGATGTTACAGAAGCACATATCAAATTTGTACGCTTTTTTGGGGGGGGGGGGGCCTAGTCTGAGTATCACCCGTTATCCACGGAGCCATCTCACGGCTTTCGCCGTGGTCAATTACATAGACTAGGGGTGGCCGGGGAAGAGCTAGGATTTTATGTTACTTACAAAGATGATCACACAGGCCCTAATACTAGCACTATAAAAGCCCATCGTCATTTCGACAAATGTTGATCCCTCATCAAATCCATTGCAATTCTATCTAAATTTCTCAGATTGCAAGCTCACAGTCATGTTCAGAAAAGTGGAACACTACATTATTTTTTTTTTTTTACAAATATTCTATCCTATCGAATTTCCCCTTAACAGTACATTTTTCCAAAACTTTTACGGATGTGATATAGGGACCCTGAGGCATCTTCCAAGAAAGCTTGCAATTTAGAAAGATTGCAAGATTACAATTTGTATTTTAATCAAATTTGGTCAAACATCGATATCGACTGTTCTACAAATGACTCAGAAATATTGATGCAGGATAACCATGTTTTCATAGTTATTAAAGTTGGTATATACGTGCTTTTTCAAAATTTCGATTTTCTTTTCAGAACGAAATTTAAAAGAATATATCCTGTAACAAATAAATTTGCTTGTTTGTTTTTGCAGGCCTTTCAATGGCGCGCTCCAGTTCTGAAATTGCGTACACTATATTGAGAACGAATAAGGAGCGTCCCGCTCTTAATTCAAAAGTTGAAATTAATTAATTAATTACTTGTGGGCCGCTTTTTTTCTTGCGATGTCTCATTGGAAAGCTCATTACTAATGTATGCTAGAATCTATTTTTCAAGGTGCCACACCCAAAAAGCACGTATACCAAAGCATGCATACACCAACTTAAATAGATAATATAGATTATTCTTTATTTTGAAGAATGGAGAAAAATCATCCGATTGGGCGCTGACGTCCCATGGTTAGATTTTCCGACTCGTGCGGTCATCCCAACAGATGGGAGTCCTGGGTTCCCTGTCTGACGGAGATCTCTGTTTTAGGACGCTTATTTACTACAATTGCCTGTCTCCGCCCAGGAGTATAAAATGGTACCTGATATGGAGGTTCAGAACAAATTGCACTGATCTCGAGCAGCTGCAGAAAAATGGTCTCAGTGTGAACTGCAGGGATAATAATTGTAAATTAAAGCGCTTTGAAACCTGAGGTATAAATTGTTATTCACCACATCATTATTATTATCATGAGTGGTAACAAATATTTACCAAAAAATTAACACATTTCTTACAATTGGGACATTTGTCCAGACTTGAAACTTTTAAGGATGCGATTGCAGGGCAGGATTCAACATGTTTAAGCCAAAATAAAAAAAAAATTGCAAGGAGGTGAATCTTACATTTTGAGTAAAATTTGGTCAAAAATTGACATGTCTGCAAGACAAAGGAACTTCTATATACAATGTAGATGCAAGGTGAGCTTACGTTTAAAAAGTCACACACCCAAAAATGTTTGGGGGACAAAGAAAAACATAATTTGGTGGGGGGGGGGGGTAAAAATTACTATATTTGACTTACCTGTACTTCCCCAAACATTTTAACTCTTTATATCTTTTTAAAGGGAAGATACAACATTTGCAAACATCAAAAAACGAAATGATCAAATTATCACGAAGCACCTTACTGGATTGTTAGGGAATGACAGTCTGAAGCATCCTGTAAAATCGTGGCTCCTGGTGTGCTCACATTTTCAAGAAAAATTGTATTTTTCCAACGCTGATCGGCTGACCAGCGTTGGAGAAAACTGGCTTTTTTTCAAAAACTGCTTCTAAATTTTCGTATTTGGTTATTTTGCATTTTCTTTGCAATTGATTACACACCTGTGAAAAGGGAACAATCCTGCTAGACTGATTATCTGACCTTAAAATTCACCAAAGTCTATAAATTGCTTTGTTTCATCTTAAGTGGGGTCAGGGAACCAGGCTACACGAACATGATTGGTTTTCCTGGTTGTTCCTGCATCTACAAGCCCAAAACGTGAAACAAGTCAGTTTAACAATATTTTCCATCACATACTAATCCTCCAAATCCATTTATGTCGTAAAATTTCAGTAAAAGCAAATGTTGTTCATTCCCTTTAAGTCAACAGCATTAAGTTAATCTGTCCACAAAAAAATTAGGGATGTGACTTAGGTATTAAGGTTTAGGGGAATCATTGAAATGAATGAAAACTGCTGCACTTGACAAAATGCCACTTGGCTTTTTTTTCGCGGAGGCAGAAATGGCATATAGACTTACAAAAATCATTTCAATTTATTTACATATCTTTCGTTTTGTTTTATTCAGCAAGCACTAATAATGAATTTTCTAAAATAACGCAATAAAATAAGGCTGGGTTAACAAAAATGATCCTTGCTATTATAACAATTTTATCCAAAAACCAAAACATGCTACAGCTCATAGCGATTGAAGTGGACAGTCCAATATTAAATTAAAGATAAGTCACGACATGTAGCCCCAGGCTAGCTCCCATTGAGACTTTCAGTATAAATTGAAACGTAGGGAAAACAGACTGTATTATTTCTTTTTAAAATAATAGTGGTACAAGTTATAAATATCATGGGTATAATGCAAGTAAATATGATGTACATTAATAAAAGGAGAGACACATATAGCTTTACTTAATTAAATTAAAAGATATACTTGTACTAAACTGCAGTATGATTACAAGAAAGCTTTATAAAAAATACCTTTACGAAAGGTAATAAATGCAGTATAGTCTGTTCAATTATGAAGGTTTCCCCTTGTTTTATACTCCCCACTCTGAAATACTTGGCCTTACAGTGCCATGAAATTTGCTGGGTGCTATAAGTGGAATATATACTTATCTATTTGCCATTTTCACTTTTTACATATATACACAGTGGCGGAACACAGGGGGTGCGGAGGGGTTGTGGGGTTGCCCACCACCCCTCCTGGCAGTGACCAAAATTTTCTCAAATAGGGCCATTTTTTCACTTGAGCTAGCCCTTTGGCCCCCAAACTGGCACACCCTCCACCCCGCGGAGGTAACCTCTCTGGATCTTCCCTTGATACAACAAATCCCTTGTCAATAAGATGTTCCAATTTTTTTTAACGATATGGATTAAGCAGCAGAAGTGAAAATGTCTCACCTTCTGTAAAAAAGCACTTAATTGACAAGTAGAGCACGTATTATACAGCTATAAGGATCTCTTTAAATATTCAGAGTAAAGTATCAGGTATGAGTTACAGGATTCTTTACAAATTCAACCGAATTATAATAATAATGTGTTTTTTTGGGGGGCGAGGCAATAGATCAGTTTCCAACTTTGCTACATAAGTAGTGAGTTAAGCTGTCGGTTAGTGAGTTAAGCTGTCGGTAAATGAATGCGCTGTCACTGTGGACAGAGCATTGACAGGGGGCATATTAGAGATGTCTGTGCATGAAACAGTACATAATAATGTTGCCCATGAATGATTGATCATTCCAAAGATTTTGTTTATCATCACAAAGCAAAACACCTACTTTTTCCAAGTTTACCTGATCATTGGCGAATTGAGCTGTCCAAAAAAGTGAGCAGTCGCAGTGGATTATATGTTGAATGGGAGGAGACAGACATGTTGAAAGTGTTTGAGCAAAAATGGATTATCATGTTTGATCATGATTAAATCACTCATTTCAAAGATTTGTTGTTTACTCATTAAAATAATAACTACCCAATGCAAAAATGTACTCAAAACTTAGCTTGGGCCAAACTTGGATTTTCGCTACGCCCATTGCAAGCCATGTTTTAATTTGAAATTGCATCGCTAGTTTGTCATGAAAAACAAAATCTTTGGAATGAGTAATTATTTATAGACAACTTGATAAACCATTTTAAGCAACAATACCTCTAACATACCCTTTGAACGTACTCTCCACAGCTGCGATGGCGCATCCTTCTGCAACTTAACTCACCACTTATTCAGCAAACTTGGAAAAAGAGGTTTTCAGGCCGTTGTTTTGCAATCAATGGTGCTCAGTCATCAGTGACTGAAGAGGTGCATTTAAGGTGTCAATCAGAAGCTAACGAAATACCCTTCGAGATGGAGCCACTTTGACATTGTAAAATTTCCAAACGTTTACATATGAGCCCATTACTTTTAGATTACCTTTGTTTTGATACACGAACGTATTTAAAAAATATGGCTATTATTAGTAGGCCTAATGTCAGCCAAAAGATACTGTGTTTATTTACTGGCCTCTGCCAGCCCGACCACGACCGCCCTTCTTCTTCTTCTTTTTCTTCTTCTTCTTGCTGAGCAGATTTTCTTGTTCCTCGCAGGTGGTGCAGCAGATGGAGTCGTAGCTGGGCATCATGCAGTAGGAGCGGAACTGGTCCTGTTGGCAGATGATGCTCTCCATAGGGACGCAGCCAGTCTCTGTGATGGAGTCAGAGGGAGTTAAAGTGGACAGGGCTGGATTATCATTGAAACTACAATAGATGAGATTTGAAGGTTTGCATGGTGGAAAGATACTAAGACAAGATAAGTTTGCAGTAGCACCATCTGAGTAAATCTCTTTTGTGAGTATGTGTGGTTCTGAAAAGAACCAGAGGGACTCAACGTTTGGAACAGTATGCTCTGCCCGTCGTCAGGAGAATGAGGGATTCCAACGATGATGCGATGTTATACCACCAGATCAACTGGAGCCGAGCAGAACTACTCACTAGCATCGACCACTGTTACCCCCGACGCATCAGAGAAGCCATCGAGATCATCAAGCATAACACTGTTCCCCAAGACAGTTTCTACATCAGCGACATCTGGCGCCCCATCCTCAAGTCCAAGTCCGATGGGTCTCCTATACCCTAGGACAACTTAGGTTCAGTTCTCGCCTATGGGTCACCTATACCCTGAGCTCCTTCCCCTTTGCCCCCTCACTGTGTACTGACACGCTCCAGTGATCATCCAGCATCCTTCAGTCAACTTGCATCCTTCTCACTTTCACCGGTTTTGAGCTTCACCGGTTTGCATCCTTCTCACGCCTCACCTAACATCGCATCATCGTTGGAATCCCTCATTCTCCTGCCGACGGGCAGAGCATACTGTTCGAAACGTTGAGTCCCTCTGGTTCTTTTCAGAACCACACATACTCACAAAAGAGATTTATTCACATGGTGCTACCGCAAACTTACCTAGTCTTAGAAACTACAATATACAGCAAAACTTGTCTGAAATAATTAGACACCACTTCAACCCTCATGTTGACCACATCCAGGCTGGTTAGAAAAAAAAACTGTCCACTTTTGAGACGCAAATTTCATGAAATTTGGGAGACATGTTAAAATTGGATCCTACCTGCAGGGCAATCTCCTAAGTTGCAGGTGGCAGTTATGGGTGGCTCTTCATCAAAACATTGGAACTCTCCAGGGGCACTGTTTGGTGCCCCACACATAACCTCCCGATTCTTGAAACCATCCCCACATGTTACTGTGCACTGCAGTCAAGAGAACAAACATGAAGATGAACTATGAAAGTGGAAGGGGCGGCCCAACATTGTATACAAATATTGAATGCTTCGCGGAAGGCTAGTTTTACTACACCATGCGATAAAGCATTCAATATTTGTTTTATAACACTTCGCCCACAGATTCTGCTTGGTTTCAATATTTAAATTATTTTAATCTGAACACAGTTGAAATAAACTTCAATTTCAGTACAAAATTGGTGGAACATGTATTTCTCTCTTCCAAACTACCCCTTCACGAAATGTTTGAACCCAACTCTGTGGCGCGCTCTCTTTGGAACAAAACGCGCTACGCGCACACCAGCATGCATTTGCACACAAATACCATGCCATGGATATAGTACTTTGAATGCTAATGATATAGTACTTTGGTTGCTACGGGTATAGTACATTTGGCCGTGCACAGAAAGATGGCAAAAATAGAAAGTATCATGTGACTCGCTCTCGGCCAATCAAGACACAGAATCTGTGGGTGAGGTGTTATAAATTCTACTAGTACCAAAACACAATTAGGCTCATAACTCATGTGATTCAAACATTTGGACCACTCCTATATGTTTTGCAGTAAGTTTTTTTTTTTTTCTTCCTTTTTTTTTTAGCTGAATTAAGAAAAAGAAAAATCAATAGAAGACTTGTAATGAAAGTTTTGGACAGTTTTGCTCATCGTAACACTGTGTGCATACATTCATTATGTGTGTGCGACATTGCGAGACTAAAACTTGCATATCTTTAAAACAATAAAGGCAACATGCAAATCTGGGGTGATCAGACTATGAAAGATATCTTCAGCTTTCTATAGGGATCAAATTCTCCTTGTCAGTGCTCAACCAAATAACGACCATTTTAGTTTGAAAAATTACCAAAAAACACAGTAACGCTATGTGCTCCTATTCAGCAGTGCACATCCACGAAGCATAAATTATTTTTTTTAAGAGGCCATGTCCAAGGTTTTTTACCACAGCGTCAAAACGAAAAGTTCCGCAACCTTTGAGTGACGTCGTTCATAAAGTTGATAAAATTCGCTAAACGTTGATATAAGAAACATGCCTATTGGACAATAAATTCCAAGGACCATTTTGGCTTGAAAAAATCTATCCAGTCAGTGTTTTGATTATCACGTTAGTAGCCCAATCGCTAAAGCCTGGTTCATACTCCACGCGAATGCGAATTCGAAGCGAATTTGACGTCACAAAAAAGTTGAAATGTGCTCAACTTTTACGAATTCGCAGCATGAATACTTGACACCATGTCACAAATTTGCGTTCGCTTTTGCGCCGCGTATGAACCGGGCTTAACGCACACATGCGCAATCGTGTTTTGTGTACAATGTGCACACCTGTTCGTGTCGTGTCTTCTGTGGTGTGTGTACCTGGCAGCAGCATGCGTACTTGAGCTTTTGTCCCTTTGCCTATATCAACTCTTCATTATGAATTTTAATTTCATGGTTCTTGTTCTCATAATTAAGCTTGTATCCGCCAGTGTTGTACGTAGTACTCGTACTCGGTACTCGTACTTGAGTACTACTCGAGTACTTTTTTTGGAGTACTCGTACTCATACTCGTACTCGAATGTCAAAGTACTCGCACTCGAAATGACGGTACTCGTACTTGGGCAGCAAAGTACTCGTACTCGACATGTCGAAATTGTGATCGATCATCAAAGTACTCGTACTCGAAAAGCAGTACTCGGGGGAAAATGCTATAGCTTGACTTTATACACCATGGCCTTATTTTATCGATACTCTAATTCAGTTTGAAATGGTTGATTGGCTTGTGGAGAAATCGAAGTTTCCTGATTTTCCTCTGTGCACGTCCAGACATACGCATTTAACAGCTAGCCGTGATTGGGTCTGTACATCGGTCTGACTGGGCCTGGGCCAATTATGCACAATGAACCATTTGCCGTATGGCCGTATTCGGAATACAAGTACTCGTACTCGGAGGTACCACTACTCGTACTCGGCAACCTAAGTACTCGGCAGTACTCGATACTTGGAAAAAAGTACTTGACTACAGCACTGGTATCTGCATAACAATTTTCTGATATGTGGCTACAATTTTGTTTGGGTGAAGAGTGTAATTCTGAATCAGCAACCATTTGACACCTGAATCTGACGGTCAAAGAAAAATCAATACATACAGTTTGCCAGCCTGAAACTAAAGCCTATTTCTCTGATGAGTTGATCCTAACTCTATTTGGTTCTCCAACTCAACGTAATGGGTTGATTTTAAAGACTTACACTAGACCATTCCCCGGTACTCCAGTGAGCAGGGCATGGTTCCCGATTGCAGGGCTGGGTTCCAGATGGTTTCTCTTCTTTACATTTTATTTCCAGCGCGGTGGATATCTTCCTTCCGAGCTTCTTGGAGCAAGTGACAACACGAGCCTGAGTGCCCTGTGTACCACAGGTATAAGAGCACGGCTGCCATTCCTTGGCCTTCCACTTGAAGATGGGCTTCCTCTTGCCTCCTGTGGGTTTCTTTGGGGCCGGTCTTGTGGTAGGCTGCGGCGCTTGGGTTGTCGGCTGTGTTGTGGTTATTGGGGGGAGCTTTGTTGTCGCCACTGTGGTTGTCATTGTTGTTGTCGGTTGCACTGTGGTCGTCCTTGCTTGGGTGGTGGTGGGAGGCTGGGTTGTCGTGGGAGGCTGTGTTGTCGTGGGAGGCTGTGTTGTCGTGGGAGGCTGTGTTGTCGTGGGAGGCTGAGTGGTTGCTTTGATAGTTGTTGTCTGGGGTGTTGTGGGCGCTTCGGTCGTCGGTCTTTGTGTTGTTGTTGCTGGTGGTGTCGGAGATGCTGCGGTTGTTCTGGTGGTTGCAATTGTTGTGGTTTTGGGTGGTCCTTCTCTTTCTGGGACTCTAAAGGTAAAATCATATGTCAGGCATGAAAGTCCTTCATTTGTGCAATGAGTAAATCAATAGTGAGCGTGATCAGTTTTGGTTGAGGGAGAAGATGGAGTCCTAAACTATTAACCAATATGTATGTGGTGAGTAACAGCAATGATTAAGACCATATAAATCATCTGCATGAATGTGATGTGGTGTAATCTTGATTACATGTATACATATGCAACTAGCTAGCTCACCTCAATATTACTTAAAAAAAATTCAACTCTTTATTTAAAAACAAGACTTGGCTTAATTGCCTTTAGTTGAGCTAGACCTGAAAGTGTCACGGTTAGAGCAGTATTTATACTTTGTTATCTCTGTGTCCATCACTGACTCATCAACAAGTCAGATAGTCCTATCTCAGAAATGCAGTAACTGACATTTATGAAAATTGTTAAGCTAGTAAAGACTTTCATGCTAAGTAGGAAACGTCCTTTTGTAAGCTCATTTTTGTAATTATGTTATAAATGAGTGCAAATTAGTGCGTGCTCCTATACAGGGTCAACGGAAACAAAGAGATTTCATTAAGTACCAAATACAAAACATAACTGACATCTGTGTGAATTAATGGTACATAAGATTGATCTCAAAATGTCTGGAAGGTTAATAAATGACTTGAAGTAGGAATAACGGAAAGCAGATCTTACAGGCTTTCACAGGACTGTTCATTGCAAGGCTGTTTGGTGTCCTTGGGGTTGTAGCTACCATGACCACAGAACGTCTTCTTCACTTTGAGGTTGTCGCTGGTACGATAGCATCTGAACTGGTGGAAGGAAAATCCTGCGAAGCAAACAAGTCTTGAAGTAGTAATATTGGGGAGTGGAAGGTAAGTAAGATTTGAGGCTTTGCATGGTGGAGTTACTAGATAATGAAAGGTTTGCGGAAACACCATGTGCGAATAATTTCTCAACTAAGAGAATGGTTCTGAAAAGAACCAGAGGTATAAACTCGACGTTCCGGTCAGTATGCTCTGACCGTCTTCAGGAGAGGCCTGAAGACAGTCAGAGCATACTGACCAAAAAGTTGAGTTTACACCTCTGGTTCTTTTCAGAACCATTCTCTTAGTTGAGAAATTATTTGCACATGGTGTTTCCGCAAACCTTTCATTATCTGGAAGTGGAAGGGTTCAGATAGTGGGAGTATTGACTCTGTGTATGCATGGACAGTAAATGGCACTTCGTGACCACTTAAATAGTATATGTATAAATAATTTTATTCTGAGTATTCAAAATCCATGCATATGTCTTCTTCGCCTGAGTGCATGGTGCACAATGGCAATGTGTTTGAATCCCTCAAAACTCTCTCTTTGCTAAAACCCAACACTTTTTAAATTTGTGATACTAAATTACAGTGTCACTGACTGCACCAGGGGCAGATCCAGGGGAGGTTTTGCAGCGGGAGGGGGGGGGGGGTGTCATGATCAGGTCCATCAGATTTTTTTATGTCCAATTGTCATGGACAGGCGGACATAATTCATTGTTGTAGTCGAGACCTTCACAAGACCATCACAAGGCCAACACAAGACCTTTAGTCACAAGTCAAGTCACAAGCTATTCAAATAAACTGCAAAAATGTCATTCCTTTGTCATTGTTTGTGCCCTATTACTTGTGGCTGGTCTTATGAACGGTCTTGTGCTTGTCTTGTGTCTTGTCTTGTAATGGTCTCAACTAACACTGGGACATATCGGTAATTATGATTACTATAATTGTTATAATATTTTTGGGGGGTATCAGAGCAGGGGGAGTTTCAACCTCAAAACCCCCCTTCTGGCTCCCGCGGTTGCTGCACAGAATTGATTTGAGAAAAACGTGACTCGACAGGAATCGACTGGACCTTGTTTTAACCAAATGACTCGACCAGACCGTACTTCAGTCACTGCCTTGACTTTAGTCACAGAATTGGTTGACTTGTTACAACACGAGTCTGTGGGTTTGACACTCACCACCACCGCAAGTCTTGGTGCAATCAGTCCAGCCTTCATCTTGCCACACGTACTCCGGTAGATCGGAAGTGTCAGGCCCTTCAGGCTCGTCGGGAACCGGTGGGGGATGAGTCTGTGGCGGGGTACCCGTCGTGGGTGCAGGTTGGCCCGGGGCTTGATCGTTGAGGTAGTAGCTGTAGGTAATGTTAATGGGCTTGCTGTTCTTTGTCCAGAAAACCTAAGCAGTGTGGAAATGGCATCATAGGGACAGGTCTTAGATGTGAATTGCGTGCATGCAAATGCTGCCCCAAATATGTTATGTCAAGGCAAGCAAAACAATTCGTCAGCGACACCACGAAGTAACACCCTCCCACATACCAGTAAAAACTAGCAATCGGAGAAAACGGCATCTAAAGTTGAACGCCTTCTAAAACAACCCTTTGCGTCAAAACGGCAGAGTATTTTCAGTTGGGTTTCTCGTAGTGGACACTTGATGAATTGAATCCATTAAATCTGCTGTTTTTCACCCGTTTGTGTATTAAATCAATAAGAAATAAGAGGAGTGTTAGTTTGTGAAACCGAAAAAGCTGTGAAACTGTAAATTTTCGTTTTCACAAAGTAACACTCATACAACATAAGGAAAGTGCAACTTCAGGTCAGCGCTCGCGCGCGTTCATACAAGGAGAGTGTTACTTCATGAAAACGTTTTTGCTCACTTACGAGCAGAGTGCGCGCCATGCATTGCAATGGTAAATAAATGGAAATTGAGTGTTACTTCGTGAAAACGAAAATTGTCACTTTTGCGCAAAAGTTGCCATGGATAATTAGCGTAATTATTAAAGTAAAGCTCTTGAAGCTTTGAAACTTGGTGCAATGGTAGGCCTTGATGAATAATGTTTAAAGATGTAAAAAACTGAAAATCGAAACAAATATTGTTTGACACGTGGAGTGTTACTGCGTGGTGTCGGTGACGAATTGGCACCTATTGAACACATTCGTTTGCTATTGATCATCCCCTGTTACTTGTGATTAGATTTGTGAATTCAGTTGTGATTAATTTAAGATGGGACTTGTGATGTACTTGTTATAACTTGTTATGGAGTGTCATGTCCGAGCAGTTAAGAGCACCAGACTCAAGCTCTGGTACTTCTGATCAGGAGAGTGTGGGTTCGAGTCCTGGTTTTGACACTTGTGTCCTTAAGCAAGACACTTAACCATTATTGCTTCGTCCTTCGGATGCGTTGTGTAATGCACGTAAAAGAACCCAGTAACACTTATTGCTAAGAGAAGCGGTTTGCCCCAGTGTTTCTGGCAGTGGCTGCTTAATGCGCCGCAGCACATAAAATGGATCTTTTTTCAAATACTTCATTTACCCGTCTTTAAAATATATTTATATTTATTAGCGCCTTTGGTATATAATTGTTGGTAGATGTGTGCGCTACATAAGACTCCGGTATTTTTATTATTTGTATCATTATAACTTGCAAAAGGTACCTTGAATAAAACATTGCTCAGATTACACTGCAAATATCATTTCCTTATACTGCCCTTCGTCCCAACGTAAATAAAAAATTACCAGTAAATCCAGGTCTTCGTGAAGGGGGCCCACGGAGTAGAGACGTTCAGTGTTGGGGGAGTACACAAAGCGAGCTCCGCCCCCAATGAAGGAGTGGGGCCCGGACTGGGAGCCCCGAGAGTTGAGGATGTATATCTTCTCTGCTGGACGACGCAAAGCTAATGAGAACAATTCAACCAGTGATATTTAAGTGTCGGTGTCAGGCTGTTTCTACCACATAACTGCATTCTTGAAGTCATATGGGGGCTTTTCATGTAGAATGGGGGCTTAATTTTCATCGTGGTACAGTGGAACGTCACTATACCGAACACCGCTATACCGAACATTCGGCTATACCGAACATCGTCCTTGGCTCTTGATTTCTGTGTACAAAATTTACCGAACATTGCTGTTGAAAAATGTCGACAGAAGAGCAATATGTGGCTATTATTTCCCCAAGGAATAGAAGGGGAAAGCCACCCATTGCTGTAGGTAGTAAGCTCAAAACTGTGTAATTACATAATTCAATAGTCGGCACGTGTTCAAAGTCATCTTTCAGAAACTAGAAGTACCAGGGCGTGCAGGGTGAAGTTCTGAAGGGCCTTATTTATTGCAAAATGAGTACCAGAGCACTGGCAGCTTAAAATAGATATACCGAACAATCGCTATTACGAACAATTTCTGTGGACCCTGCGATGTTCGTTATAGCGGCGTTCCACTGTACATCATTTTGAGGGTTCACCAAGCATTTGCATCAATAATCAGACTTATTCATGACTTCATGATCGCCCTCCTGCACATTTTGTTGCGCGGTAAATTGTACATTCTTAATTGTTACTTGCGATGATGCCATCTATAAACAAATGCGTCAAGAAGTCTTGAAAATGTAAACCATCATAATCCACCGGAACAAAAACTATCAAACTTTAGTGTTAAAACTGCTGTCCTTTTCCACCTCATGTAACATATAGCACTGTTTGTCAGTGTGTGTCTATGAACGAATTCTGACTTTTTCCCATGACTATTAAACTATATTATTTGGTGTTAGTGCACTGCTCATATAACTGGGCGCCCATGTGCAAAAACAAAGCATTGGCAAATTTCCAGCTCCAATTCAAATTAACCCACCACTAGACAATAGGGCAAATGGCTAACGATGCTACACTACCTACCCAAAGTATTTTTTTCTAGACCAGCATATAAATAGGAAAAGATGTTTATTCAAGAAGGTTCATGTTGAGTTAAAAACATATTTTTAAAGCTTTAAAACAGATCCAAGGAATATGTGTACATGACTGACAACGGGACAAAGCTTGGACGTAAAAGGCAAGTTTAATACTCACCAATAAAACTCTCTGTATCTGTATTTTCTCGGACATCAATGTGGCGGGAAGAAGTAGGCATGGTGTGTATAACTTGATACTCTGAAAATAAGAAAGCCCCCGAAAACAATAAGAACATATTGAGACCAAAAACAAAAAAAACCCGACAAATGAAATCCATACCACAGAAATAAATAAAAAGAAAAAAGTATGGACTTCCGTTTGTCTGATGGTTTCTGTTTCTGTCTGCCACAGTGGCATAACAAGGGCATTTTTATTGGGAGGTGGTAGACTTGAAAAAGGGCACTCTCCCATCCGTGCTCAAAGGTAGACAGGGTTCTTTTGCCGGTCACCCGGCTTCCGTAAAATCGAAAGGGGGCAGGGGGGGGGGGGGGGCATCATCAGCCTATGGGGGCGCTGTTCAAACCGAACGATTATGGGCACTACTATTGGACAATTGGTGGCACTTTTCATGGCGGCACAATTGCAGATGTTTGCGCGACATTACAAAAAAAGGCACTCGTGAAAAAAGGGCGATCGTGAAAAAAAAACACTTTTGAAAAGAAGGGGACGTACACTTTACAAAATATTGGGTGGGGGTAAATAACAGCCCCCCCCCCACCACTGTGCCACTGGTGTAACAATGGTGTAGTAAGACCTTTCCAAGACCTTTCGAGACCTGTTATTTTGTTAATCCATTGGTTCAATTTTCAGAGACAAAGCACATCAAATACATATATATGTAGCCTATAGATTTTCATTATTTTTTCACAAAATTTATTGTGGGGTAACAAAAGTGAGATCTTCTCATCTCAAGATCTTTAGGAGATCTACTGCCCCAACGAAATGATAATGTTAAATCCTCCTACTTTACTATGCATCAACCCCACTGATGAAGTGTATTTTGTGGTTCATGCATGTTGGAATTTAAATGTATAGTCCATCATTTGTAATTTCTGCACAAACGTGCTCAAAATCTAAAGAAGGGTGCTGAACAACTAACCTGATGAAGTTTCAGCTCAGCTTCAGCTGTATATTTCAAGAAAACCAACATTCTAGGATCTCGATTTCAAATCAAAAGTTGCTGAATCATGTTTTGAATTGGGCCTGAAATCAGCGTCCGAGACACGTTCTCACTGAGCCGAATGCAGCTATGCAATGTCGCGCACCGATCCGACGAATAATAGCAACCGCGCGTGCATGTGCATCGTGTCAACGCTTGCGCGCGCTTCGCCGAATAAAAAAACGAACTACTAACAGAAATATAGCACTTATATACACTTCTTAAGACACAATGTTGGAAAGGCCTTCTTTCGTTGATTTCTGCAAAATAACAGCTTGCCAGAAAGAATAATTTTACAGGGAGTTTAGTCCCCTTACTATCTTTCAACCAAGTTTTTCAACAATAATTACGCCAGTTACTTTATGGATAGCTGCAAATGATGGACTCTGGATTTAACAAAAACTGATGTTCATATCAGCATTAGTGTGAGGCCTCGAGAAAGGTCTCGTATCGCACTAGTCTGCTTATCCTTCAAATAATCAATGATCTCTCTCTTACTTTTCTTCGGGTCTTGGACAAAGTTCCTTTGGATGAAGGAGCATTGCCTGTTGTCACTGTCACACACTCCACACTTGTCCTCAACTTTGGTGGAGTCTATTTGATTGTCGCAGCCAAGTTTCTGAAAATGTGACAAACAACAAACAAAAGAAAAAAGTTTTACTATATTATGTTTATATGCTCTTCAAACAAATTTGATTCATATGAAACTTTTTTCTTCAATATAAGTCATCTGCAACCCTCAGTAAAAGATTTTTTTTTAAGAGTTGCTTCAGGATCTTTTGGTGCATATGCACCGAAAGATCCACCTGATCTTCATCAGAATATTTATCTTTTTAATATCTCATCAAAATGAATAACCTTTAAGGCTTTCTAACTCGTGGGATCGATCTGCTCTAAGATCGATCCCACGAGTTAGAAAGCCTTAAAGGTTATTCATTTTGACTTGTCTAAAGTCCCAAGATCCTTCATAAGATAATGAGTTTTGTCAAATTAGTAGATGGCCTAGTGTTAGGATCTCCACAGTGTACACATTGCATGGATCTGGAGGTCTGATTTGGGTTTTTAGCAGAAAATCTCATTCCAACAAAATCGGGGCCTATAACAAGCTATACATACCACACATTGGCCCTGCACACATATACTGTAGTGATCGTCATAGGAACAGGGTGTGCCGTCTGTCACGTTATAATTGGTCACAACAACGTCTTCGGTGGTCTCAGAGATACAGGTGAGCCTGCACTGTAGTGATTCTGTGTGAACGAACACATATTAAATTTGTGTTTGATTGCTCTGGAAGAAATCTAAAACTAGTATATGACACGTGGGGCGTATTCGAAACCCTGTTCCTGTGTTGAATGAACACGAGAACAGGGTTCCGAATGATAGGAACCAACACACGAACGGTGTTCGCAAACAAGATTCTCATTCCCCACTTATTGGGGATACCCGAGTAGATATGAAGGAACCGGAACTTGCGTTAATATTCGTGTATAAAATTGAAAGCATTCATTAAGTGCAGGAGCAGTAATGGTAAAACATTAAAATTAGAAGTGACAAAAACTTGGAAAATCAATAATTTTTTGATGTTGAGTTATGCTGGCCTATTTATTGCGTTTGACAAAAAGAACAATTTGACCAACTTTCAAAGCGACATATTGTATACTTTTGTAACTATCATAAACAAACAATTGACAAAAAGCTTGAACTCCGTGTTTATTTGTTTTCACGAAGTGACAACAACTAACCTTGTTAGCAGGGCCAGATGGATTATGCATTTCTTTATGCTGATAAAGAACAGACGCATGCGCACTACACGCGTTAATGTTACAATTTCTCACAACATTTTATGTAGTCATGAAGTGACAGAGTGTGTACAAAGAAATGGGAAAAATAATAGAGACCCTTTTCACGAAGTGTAAAATATCTTTATTAATGAATTACTGTTTAATTATGAGAGACTTTTAACTTTGAATTAGCCAAAAAAAAAAGCCAATAAGTTACTTGATGCCAAAATTTCCAAAATCTGTAACTACAAACTAGTCGAAAATGTGTTTTGAAAATGTGGTTATCTCGGGATGACCTTTTTACAGGATATTGAAGTTTTTGTCACTCTGTGAAAACACCGCCAATATTTTCACTCTGTATTATTGTTTATACAACACATGTTGCAAACTTTCAGAAATACACTCTTGCTTTTATGGGAGGTGCATTTGCACATTTGAAAGCTCTTACTGTTTCTGTTTTCATGCGGTAGCCACTTGTGTTGTCTCCCTCCTAAGTGAAAACTTGCCAGATTGTCCTCACACTGTTTGGCCCGTCTGTCCTCCCATTCACCAACACAGGGCTAATATGAAGACGAAAGAATACTATGCCAATTGTGTAAATAAATGTGCAAAACAAATATGTAAATAAATATTCTAATGTTTACATTTCAAGTTGCATACCCTATACTCTTCAAAATTCTTTTCACCCAACAAATTTACAATTTGTATTTTCTGTTTTAATGGAAAAAAGTACTTTATTCCGATTTTGGACGTCTCCAACCCTCTGAAGAAGGACTTTCATTTTGCGCACAAATATACTCGCCCTATGAGAGCCGAATTATTGTTCTGCAGCCAATAATTAAAATTTTGGGAAGAAATAATTTAATAACTAAATGTTAATTTGTGCAGTTTTTTCAGTCAGTGTCTCATTCAAAAGTGAAAAACTTTGCTAGGGAATAAGAGCAATTGAAAAACAAATCCTTTTTTTGAGGTGAAACTCAGAATGGTGTACTCCTTTGCACATTTCCCATTTTTCTCATCTTTCCGTTTCCCTCTCCCTATTAATTTCGCGCTAGCAATGGTTGGTCCAATCATTTTCAGCTACGATCTCAAATAACCAACAAGTAACATTTAAAACAGTAAGGAGTGACTACATTAAAAAAAATCGACTGTTGCAATCACAGTCTAATTTTTAATAGGAGACTTTTGAGGTGCTTGGTGACAGCAAACATACCAGTCCTTTTCAATTGTTTATCATCATTTGCAGCTATCCAAAAAGTAACTGACGTAATTATTGTTGAAAAGCATACTTGGTTTAAAGATAGTAATGGTATTAAACTCCCTGTGAAATTATTCTTTCTGGAAAGCTGTCATTTTAAAGAAATCATTACAAAAAAAACCATTTCCAACAATTAAGACGCATTCTTGGAATTTCCTTTATTAGTTCGCTTTTAATTTGGCAAAGCGCGCACAAACGTTAACACAATAATGCACACATGCGCGCGGTTGCTATAATTCATCGGTTCAGAGCGCGACATGGCGTAGCTGCAATCGGCTCAGTGAGAACATGTCAGATGCTGAATTCAGGCCCAATTCAAAACATGACTCAGCAAATTTAGATTGAAATCGAGATCCTAGAATATTGTTTTCTCGGAATATACAGCATTCACTTAGCTGAAACTGCATCAGGTTAGTTGTTCAGTACCCTTCTTTAGATTTTGAGCACTTTTGTTGCTTCAAGCGAACATAATGCAAAAATTACAAATGATGGATGCTACCTTTATGCTAAAGTGTGCGTGTTCAAAATGACACAAATAATAGAAAAGAACTGGTGTACATGTATTTGCTGCCACCAATCATCTCAAAAGTCTGCCACTGAAAATTATTACATGAAGATTACCGAGCTGAAACCAAAATCTATATTTGCATTCAGACCCGAGTCGCTCCAAATACGTGTTAGTTTGGCACGGCTCTGGATTGCCTTCCTGAAACGGTTCTTACCCTTTTGTTGCAGAGATGGTACTCATAGGACTCCCCCTTGCAATCTTTGCCTCCATTGGCTGGCCTACAGATTGAAAAAAGAAAAAAATGAACGAAAAAAACAAAACAAATCTGCGTTACAGAATACTGCTGATTCATCTGTCAAGTAAAGAATGCAACTGAATTAAACAAGTGGTAACTCCAGGTTGAACTCCACAGTTTTTAACCTGGCTGTAACTGAAATCTTGTAAAACCTGTTTAATTTTGTATTCTCCACTAAAAACGTGTAAGAAAAATACCCAGGATAGTGCCTATAGACCTTATCCACAAGGAAGCCATATTTGATCATGTTCCCTGAAGTTTATAAATCACAAACGTGATTTTGTCGTGCGATATACACATTCCCATGTTCCACTGGGATAACCAATATTCTGCAGACCACTGATTTCCAATCAAGTCACTTACAAGTCATTAAACATTGGAAGTCACATATCATAGGTCATGAATAATTTTTAAAAATGTGTTCAGTTCCTTTTTTTTTTTTAAAGCAGACTACTCAAGACTGGGTGCAGCTTGTAACATGTGATTAGCATGCGATGACCTGAGATGACTTAAAGGTAGAGAATTATTTGTCATTTGTGCATTTTTTTTGTTTGAAGCAACAAAAGTGTTCGAAATCTAAAGAAGGGTGCTTAACAACTAACCTGATGAAGTTTTAGCTCAGTGAGTTGCTGTATATTCCGACAAAACAAACAATTCTAGGATCTCGATTTCAATTCAAAAGTTTCCGAGTCATGTTTTGAATTGCGCCTGAAATCAGCGTTCGGGCCACCTTCTCATTCAGCTGATTATTACAGCTACGTGATGTCACGCACCGAACCGACGAATAATAGCAACCGTGCATAGGCATGTGCGTTGTTTCAACGCTTGTACACACCCATTAACGGCTTCGCCGAAATAAAAACGAACTACTAACGGAAGTTTCCAAAAATCCGCCTCTTGACGCATCTTTGGAAAGTGCCTTCTGTTATTTTTCTTCAAAATGACAGCATGCCAGAAAGAATAATTTCACAGAGAGGTTAATGCCATTACTATCTTTAAACCAACAATGCTTTTCAACAATAATTTCATTTGTTACTTTTTGGATAGCTGCTAATAATACACTAGCTGTACTCTACCTTCAAAGGTATAGTCCATCATTTGTAATTTGTGCATTTTGTTCGTTTGAAGCAACAAAACTGCTCAAAATCTAAAGAAGGGTGCTGATCAACTAACCTGATGAAGTTTCAGCTCAGCATCAGCTGTATATTTCGAAAAAAACAACATTCTAGGACCTCGATTTCAAATCAAAAGTTGCTGAATCACGTTTTGAATCGGGCCTGAATTCAGCGTTCGAGACGCGTTCTCACTGAGCTGATTGCAGCTACAGGATGTCGCGCACCGATCCGATGAATTATAGCAACCGCGCGCGCGTATGCCTCGTGTCAACGGTTGCGCGCGCTTCGCCAAATAAAAAAAACTAACAGACATTTCCAACGGTGCTTCTTAAGACGCACCGTTGGAAAGGCCTTCTTTCGTTGATTTCTTCAAAATGACAGCTTGCCAGAAAGAATAATTTCACAGGGAGTTTAGTGACCCCTTACTATCTTTCAACCAAGTATGTTTTTCAACAATAATTACGCCAGTTACTTTTTGGATAGCTGCAAATGATGGACTCTGGCTTTAAATACATGACTCTGCTTGAGTCGTACTGCTGCATATTTTTAATGACTTTGAAATGAGACTGAAATGAGATCTGACAAACTTACGGTGGATTGTTGCACTCCCGTGTTCTGACCTGTACCCCGACGCCACACGGGTACGTACAGTCGCTCCACTGCGAGAACTTACTCCATTCCCCGTTCTGTCTTTCAGCATCCCTGTATACGCAGTAGCCTTGAAGACACCACTGTGGAAATGGTTTAATCGTGACGTCTGATAGTTATAAGGGATTACAACTGACACATATTTATAGACAAATGGCCATAACTGAGGTAGAACAAGGCTCCCATTATGCTAGTCGTAAGACACAATCATTACTCCATTGACCAGGCCTTACCAAAATGCCGCGCACAGGCCCCCTGACATACATAATGTGTGCAACATGAGTGCAATGGTTTCGTCTTAGGTGATGCGGCAATGCGGCTTTTTTTTTTTTTACTTGTTTTTTTTGCTTCAAATGTCGGCTGATGACTACAAATGGTGCCCGACTAAACTTAGTGCAAATATTAGAGGCCACATAAAGCTTATTCTCGATCATAACCCCATCTAAAAACATGTTAAAATTGTGCAGCAGCAGGATTCCAGTCAAACCAGTGAGTTTGGCGGTTTTGAGACATCATCTTTCATTGAAAAAAAAACTTTTCATTTTGCCGACCCGCATGGCTACGGCGACGCGCGCTCATACCCGAAACCGGAGACTTTTTTTTTTGGCCTTAGTAATGGCTTTTAATATCGTTCGCCAGATTAACTTAGATGAAAATAGGCATTTCCTACTGGATATCAGCGTCAGAGAAGTAAAACTAAGCTCGTGCATGGCTTGACCTTGGCAAATAGGTCATCGTTTTTTGGATTTTGGGGGGGGGGGAATGAGAAAAGCCACTTTAAATGCCAGAAATATGACATCTGAGCGGGAATCACCCCTTAAAGTTATTATTTAAGTCACTCTAAATTATAATTTAAGTCACTCTTAACCAGCTCGCGTCGGAGGACGTGATAACACGCACTGGCTGTTTTTATACACAGACACGGCCGACGGATTGCCAAGATTGCCTCGACTCGCCTCCGGGTAACGTCTAGGGAAATTTCTATCGGTTGTGTAATGCACGCGCACCTGTTTGGCCTAATATATGCAGCGCGCATTCAAAACATTTCATTGTAGTTCCGAACCAAACTCTTAAATTTTCTTCCAATAGTATCAAAGATGCAGCAAGACTTTGATGCAACTTCACTGGTCAGCTCTTTTGTGGTGTGTAGTGTGCGTGGGACTGAAAATGGATGATAATTGCCTGCAGAAGTAGTGCATGCGCACTAGTTTCCCCCATTTTTCAGGGGAGAGATTTTACGAATTTCCCCAGACGTTGTTCCCGACGGGTTCCTGGGTGATATTGGAAATGTTCGTGATAAACGCCCTCCGCACCGGCTGGTTTTCGCGGTGGCGGGTTATCGCCTATCAAACAATAACAACGTCTAGCCCCTAGACTAGGTGACTACGTCTTAACACGCTATAATCCCTCGTGCCTTTTGTACACACACAAAGTCCGTGAAGTCTGTGGAGGCGGACCGTGTGTTGATCTTGAATTGGCCGTTGTGCACGGCCTATTGTTAGACAATTTATGCTCCAGTGAACACCTCGGAGAATTGAAACATATGAGGTTTCGGCAAGAAATATCGCACAAATGCTGTTGAAATGACTCTTGCGAATCAGTATTTGTGGCATTTGGCTGTATATCAGAAGTTGGCTGGAAAATTTTGCTAAAATCGAAGATGTTAATACTATATGGTTTTGGCGCGACTCTTGAACACCAGTCTGAAACAATTAAGTAATTGCCCTTTAATTGTTTGTTGTCAATGTATGGAAGGCAAACCAATGTGATTGTGGACCTTACTTTGTCGTATCCACATTCTGAGCCGTCCAATGGTGGGCCTTTCTTGGTGCGGCAATACTGAGGGTCCCAGGGATCTATACACCACAGCTGCGTGCAGGATTTATCATCTTCACGCTGTAGAGAAGACAAAAAAGAAGCCTACACTTAAAGCTTCAGGTATCACGAGATTGTCAATTTCAAAAAACAAATTCGATGAAAATTCGATGAAAGGTCTGAAAGAAGCATTTCTTCTATATTGATAATGCCTTTCTCTCAGATTCAAAAAGTCTGAAAAAATATCATGCCTGAAGCTTGCAAATTACAGGCTTAACTGATTGCACACAAAAATTTAAAATGGAATTGACTCAGAAATGGGATTCTAATTCACTTTGTTTATGTTAACATGTACAGTGTTTTTGTTGCTATAATCAAGTATTATTCCTACACACAATTTTTATTTCTACAGTCAAAAGCAAAGAGAGAAAGTTTCTTCTAACTTTTCTTTGATTAAATGTTTATTTGCAAAAAGTGAAGAACATAATGCACATACTTTTGTTTCACTAAAGTAGTTTAAAATCCTCTGTGTGTGCTGGTTTGGTTTTACTGGGAAACACTGCAAATATGACAGTCCTTTATGTCACTTTTATGTTGAATTAAAAAAATATCAGCCTTACAGCGCATCAACAGAATGACCAGATATCACTGCAAAACTTGTGCATCACCTGGATGTGATTTTTGTATTTAATAGAGGTATAATAAACAGTCAATCTAGTCAAGTTTGTGAAAGTAAATCAAACATTATCAATGTCATTCAATTACCACCTGGTGCATTATATGTCATACAAAGTTGCAGCAATGTGCAAAAGCAATTCAAAAGCAAAAGAGCATGACAGGCATGCAACTGCGAATTAAAACGAGGAAATTCCAAACCAAATAAGACTTTGTGCAGTATTTTTCAACTTGTAATGGCATTCACAAGAAGTAAAAAAAAAAAAAACAAGGAAATCAGCAGATCTGATCTGAGGAAGAGTTGCATGCTGGGCATCAATTTCTGACAGAAAAGCTCACAGAAGATTTATGCAAAACGTATGTATGTTTTTGGTCTGTGTCTGTGTCTGTGATGTGCTATTTTGGTCTTTTCTTAACTACAGGCCTTACTCTGCAATCAAAATGAACTAAAACATGCGTACACAATGTACATGTACATGCATGAAAAGCAACTGACATCACAAGTTTTGCTTTCTGGCATAATTGCATGAAATAAACTATCGTCTGCTGTGATGTGGGATATGTGGGTTTTTTTCACCCTCAAGGATGCAGGTTTCTGGGTTTCAATGTTTCTCTAGACTTGCATCTACGAGAAAAAAAAATGTCAAACGTAATTTCCAATTAACATATAGGACAAAGAAGCAACGATTATATAAATATATATCCACGGAATAAACAAATGAAGGGAACGCAAAAAAGGTGAGAAAACAAGACATGAAAGGACGACAGAATTCAAGGGGGAAAAAAGTAACAATACCAAATTGTTTAAATAAAGTGATGAGATAATATTGAGATTAAGTAATTACATCTCATAATCAGCTATTAAAAGAAATAATAACACCAGTCTTTAGTTCATTAGCTTATAGAAACAAATATGGAATATAATTAATTTTTGGAGTACAGTGATAAGAAAATTAAAAGGCACGCTAAAAACAAAAACAAAAGAGTTAAAGGCGAAAATGTAAATTAGGGAAGGAAGGAAAATGGTAAGTGAAAACATCTGACAAAAAACTCTGAAATAATGCTCTGAATCCTGCCTTACAGAGTTGAGAATAAGTGCAGATGTTCAAACAAGAAGTAACCTACATTAGGGACTACAATTAATTGAAAACATCAAAATATCTAGATGTCTACTGCAGACATGGGCCATAATTCTGATGTCATACACACATCATATAGGCCTACAACTTTTTCTCCAGTAAAATAAAACTTTCAGAGAAATTTGAAACAAGCATTTTACTATTGTATTTATAGTGGCATGTCTCCTGTAGTTGTCTATTATCTATGTACAATAGTATTCAAGAACAAACACTATTTGAATAGTAACAAAATGCTTATGAAAGTCCTAAACAGACTCATGATGTGGTACACGGTACCCTGTGGAGACATGTGCATAATAGGAAACAAAAGATTGTACGTCTCCACAGGGCAATTTCTATAGATGAATACGTCTCCACAAAGTTATCACGAAATAGATATATGAATTTTAATCAAAAACTACGAATTTCCAAGGTGTGTTGATCTGTCGCATATTGAAGTATTTTATGTAAGGGATATTAAGTCCGAATTTCAGCCCGGGAAATTATAACTCTGGTTAAAATAGGAACAGTTTGAAACTATACACTTTCAAACTCTAACATTTTAGTTTACACGAGAACAAGGTCTCCACAAGGATACAAATTCCAGTATGGGTGTTTTTCTTCTGTTTAGGCCATTTGGTTAAATATCCAAGACTTGTTTATTCAAGTTCTGCATCCATGGTTATTCACATCATCTCAAGATGTGGCAAAGATATCAAGTGTACTGGCCCGTGGATGCTGTAACAAGATGGTACAGGATTTACAACAAAAGGTCTTATAGACTTGGGTACACCAAAACAGAACGATCACATGTACCCAGGTGATGGTGTTAACAGACACATCCCAATTAGGAAAAAAGTGGGAGGGCAGAGGTCATGGCAGGGTTCATGAACAGAGTGTTAAGGAGTGGTTAACACCATGTGTGTGAACTCCGCTTAGCTGGGTTTCACACTACTATGAATATAACCTCTAGTTATATGACACATGCACCTTTAAGTATCCAGATGGCACCTAGGCTGTCATTGAACAGTTTAAGTGTAACTACTTTCCAGGAAGAAAATACAAAAGAGCTTGAAAATCAAGGCCACAACTGCAGCTGATGTGCAGTATATAAATCCACCAATTCAAGAAAATGAAGAAAAAAATCCTAGTGCATCCTGACTGTGATACCTATTTCAAGACTCTGTTTGTCAGTTATAATGCTGGTTTTTTTTTAATTCACATCTTTGAACCCCTAGGACTTTATATTTTCTTTCAATATTGTGAAAGTAGGTTTCCAGAAACTGGGAGTTATACACCTACACTTGTATTTATATGTAACTCTAAGGCAGATTTTTCTTTGTGTGGAATTGCACAAACTATTTGAAAAATACAATCTTGTAGACTTGTGAGAAGTGTTTGAGAAAAAAGTGGACTGTTTGTGAAAATATAACTTTTTTTTTACAATTTCGGAAAAAAAATCCTCCTAACATGGAATTTTTTTTTTAAGTTACCTGCAAAACAAGATGGGGAAAAGGTTCCTGGGGGGGGGGGGGGGGGGATTTGGATTTAACTTGTCTCTAATAAGCTCAAGATGTACAATATTAGTTTAAAACATGTAAACATTACGTCGTACAATCAAACAGTGTTTTTGTGTCATCCAACTGCTTAGTACCACAAAACAAACCGTATATTTTTATCCAAGCTGATTGACAAAATTTAACATTAAAGTTTATCACAGATTATTAGAAGTGTTTGTACTCGAAAAATATTAAGTAGTAAACTTTTAGTTGAACCTTTTGGGGAACAAACGGTGCACGGTGTTATATGAAACCACTCAAGTGAAATATTAGACACACACACAACATGGCTAATTTTGGCAGCTGGCTCCAATTTTTCAAAGCTGCCAAGCTTTCACAGTGAATCGTGTTCATCGACAGACACAAATCTAGAAAACATAAACTGGTGTTTAACAAGTTCAGTGAAAAACACTATAGTTTTCCAACTTTGCCTGTTTAGTGGGTAAATATGCTTTGCATACTTTTTACTTTTAAATATAGTTATTTCAACATCAAATACCATATACGAGTTACTACTTAGTGTTGTGCCACTTTAGAACAAACAGACACAAACTTTCAGCGAAGGGACTCATGGTTTATGAGGTTTAATTTACAACAGACAATTTAAAATTCTTAGCCGAGTGGAATGAACATACAATTATTGCCTGGCAGCGCTGATGAAATTGGGTCCAGTGCAACGTTGGGGTCAAGCACCTATGGGGGGGGGGGAATTACCAATTGGTATGGTGTCCTCATTGTTAGTACTTTTAGACAGTGGGTTCCAGATCCACACTCAACTAAAATGTAGTCAAAGCAACTCAAGTAAACAAATTAATTTTGTTCCAGACAAGCCAACTTTTGACATTTCGCAACTCGTACCAATTTTCCATCGATTTCAATTTAGAGCAATTATGAATTGTTGCATCAGTACATCATTTGTGTGTAGTTGCCCCTAATTGGTTTAAATTCTAACTTAATTCTAATATTCAGGATGTTTCAGTTGGGGTCACTTGTTAATAATGCAGTGGCCCAATTCTCTGTCTATTGTTCGTCTATTTTGTTCATCAAGATTTTGTTTTGGAAAACCTTCTCAGCATCAGCCCTGAGTTGGCCCTCTTATGACACTTTAACTGATAGTGTGGCAAACTCTTCAAAACCATAACGTCCAGATGGTGATTCATTTTATGAGCATGACAACATTTTGTGGTTCATAACAAGCTGTTTACTGTTAGGCTGCTATGGCTGGCCGATTCTGAAAAGTTCTACTCGCTGATACTTGGTGATGCCTTAGCCATGTTTTTTGGTGGCCAGGTTTGATATTAATTTTGTTTATTCGAAATGGGAAGGGGATTTAGAAGGAAGTGGTTTTAACAGCGGAACTCCACCTCCTTCCACCCACAAACAAAATTTGGCTGTAAACTTTACACCGGAAATGGAGAAGGGTCCACCTCAAGAATTTTGGGCTCCGGGCCTTCTGTGTAAAAGAAGATCCCTTAACTTTTTCTCATGCATAAAACTACGCAGTGTGCACAGAAAAAAAGGTTCCAACTCCAACATCCTAGATGTTTCTTCCACAGATGCATTTAAAACAAGTTAGAGTTTCACCCTGCCGTCTTTCTCTCAGGTATTCAATTCAATGCCATTGTGGTTATGGGCTTTTTGATGCTTGGATTGCTAGATGCCAGTTGTTTAAAAGTCATGTCAGGGTGTTGTCATATTAAAAGCTGCTCTCCCATTGCCTTCTTTTTTTTTTTAAGTTTAAATTCACTTCCCAAATAGATTATCTTTAAATGACTTAGTCCTTTTTAACGACACAAAAATTATTCAGTTTTGAATAAAATACCAAACCACAAATCCCTCCATATTCACTTATGAAATAAGTTACATTACAAATTTGATTTGTTTGCAGCCTGACAATATTTCAGCTGGATATTTTTGTGTGTGAGAGATGTTAAAGGTAAAGTACATCATTAATTGTTTTTTGGGGCATTTTAATTCCTTTGATGCAACAAAAATGCTCAAAATCTAAAGGAGGGTCCTTAACAACTAACCTGATGAAGTTTTAGCTCAGTGAATGCTTTACATTCCAAGAAAACAATATTCTGGGATCTTGATTTCAATTCAAAAGTTGCCAAGTAATGTTTTGAATTGCGCCCAAAATCAGCATCCGGGCCAGGTTCTCATTCAGCCGATTGCAGCTACACGATGTCACGCACTGAACCGACAAAATATAGCAACCGAGCACGCCTGTGCGTCGTGTCAAATGAAATTACCTTACTGTTTTCTTCAAAATGACAGCAGGCCAGAAAAAATAATTTCACAAGGAGTTTCGTGCCATTACTATCTTTAAACAAAGTATGCTTTTTAACAATGATTTTGTCAGTTACTTTTTGGATAGCTGCAATGATATACTCTACCTTTAATGCAATACAATATAAAACTTTTATTTGATAGGGTTGTAGATACTCTGAATACTTTTGTGGCTAAGAAAAAAGAATAGAGAAAAAAAATTGAATTTATTGAAGAGGACGGACAGAGAGCAACTTTCATACAATCCCCTTTCGTATCACACCAACATCTAAGACACCATACCACTTGGGACTTGGCCAATTAGAGACAAACTTGTGAGGACACGCCCCTTTTCTAAGCCCCTCCCCCACCCCTCCCCAGCACACTGGGCCTTACTTTCTTCTTTTGATGGCATTTGGAAGGATGGCTGGTCCCATCAGCCAGGCTGGAAAGGAATTCAGTGACTCGGCAAAAAAGGCGCAACACCTGTCTATGGGTTCGCTGTGAAATGAGAAACAATATACCTAATTGTTTAAGAAAAAAAAAGAAAAGGGGACAATCAACTCAGTCAACATTTTGAAGAATGATGTAGGTTGAATGTGGAACATTGTTTAGGCCATGTGTAGAATTTCACACTAATAGTGGTGAAAATGCAAAATACAAAAAACACCAATCTCGGGTGGATTCTTCCAGTTCAAAGTGTTACAACTTCATTTCACAACAAAACTGAAATAAAAGTAGAAAATAAACCTCAGCCACATTTTATTGTGCCAAAAACGTTAACACTTTTTCAGACGAAGATTTCTTGGAATTGGGGAGACAAGTTAAAATTTATTTGAAGAAATTCCCAAACTACAGTATCTTTGTGGTATATGGTGAAAATGGAGCTTAAAATAAAGCCTAAGTTAAGAAATGGCAAAGGTTTAAAGAAAGATGGTCATAAACCAGTTTATGCACACGCAAGTCTATGAGATTATGGTCAACACAATAGCACTGCATACACAAATAATTGCAATAATTGTAATTAGGTCTACACGACTGCCATAAGCCCTTTTCCCACTAGACAAATCTCAGGGTTGACGCAGGGTTGACGCAGGGTTGAAACCATGCATCGTTTCACACTTACAGAATTTCCACCCTACGTCAACCCTGCGTCAAACCTGAGATTGATTTTGCCCCGGGTTGAACTCAACCCTGCTCCAGACCAGGGTTGAGATTTTCAACCAGGGTTGAAATTCTTGCCAGGGTTCAAAAACAGTAGTAACTGAGCATGATCAGCTCGATTTGCATGAAACGAGTGTGAAACTATGCAGGGTTGAACGTGGGGTTGAAAAATCGAAAAATCAACACGGGATGACACTGGGTTTGCCCACAACCGGGTTGACAGGCTCTAGCATGAAAAGGGCTTTAGATGTGGACAATCTAGTTTGTGACAAAAATTCTGTAAATAGCCGCTGTTTCTTACTTTGAGCTTTATTTTCAACGTCATTTTCACCATTTACCACCAAGATCTTGTACTTCAAGAATATCTTAAAACAATTTCAACACGTCTCTTCAATTTTGAGAAATCTGCCTCTGATAAAGTGTAAACATTTTTGACCACCCTGTACAGTTCAATGGTAATGCTCACACAAGTGTTTTCCTGATCCCTTGTAATTTTTTTTTTCCATTGCAATGCACTTCAGTGTGTGTGCAAAGTGACAGTTCAATTGGCGATCACTGTTGTCAGCATCTGATTCCAGACGATCTTTGCCAGTTATCTGCAAAGGTGCCTATCCCATCAGCAATGTACTGAGAGTTTTTTCCGTTTCGATCCCACAAAAAAAAATTTGCTGAGTCTGCATTTTGAGACATGCATTTCTTACAGAAATAATGATCTTTTTTTTCTGGTAGCAAATGGGGATGGTATAGATTAAAGTAACCAAAACCTCACCACGTTCTAAATTGAATTAAAAAGTTGCTCTACCCCCCCCCCCCCCCCAATATGGACTTGGCAGAATAAGGATGATATACCTGTATCATGGATAAAATGCAGGGTACATGCATGATATGCGATGTTCAGTACAAAGTTTAGATTTAATTGTCGGCTGTTGGAGATCTGTCAGTCACATGGCGTAATTACAATGCATACAGGCTTCAAATACAAACACAGACCATGTTACATGACAGTCTCGCTACACTAAAAAATGAATACAAGAAATATGTTGAAACCAGATGTGATTTATGTGAAATAGCATGCATACGATGACAGCTTGATAGGACGTATTCGAGACTAAAGAGAAACATACATTCTGAATGGTGAAGTGAATTAGAAATGCCCACATTCCATTTAGCAATCAAACTCTGGATTTCATTCCACTTAATCAAAGTGACAGTATTGCAGTGTTGTAGTCGAGTCTATCACAAGTCCTAGAAGTCTTTTCGCAAGTTCATAAGTATAGTCATTAAGTAACGGGATGAACAGTGACAAAGGAACGCCTTTGTAACAGTTCATTTGAATAACTAGTGACTTGACGTGAGACTGATGGACTTGTGATGGACTTGCAGGGACTTGCGGGGACTTGCAGGGACTTGCAGGGACTTGCGGGGACTTGCAGGGACTTGCGGGGACTTGCAGGGAATTGCGGGGACTTGCAGGGAATTGCGGGGACTTGCAGGAAATTGCGGGGACTTGCAGGGACTTTCAGGGACTTGCAGGGACTTGTGATGGACTTGTATGGACTTGCGGGGACTTGCAGGGACTTGCGGGGACTTGCGGGGACTTTCAAGGACTTGCACTGACTTACGGGGACTTGTGGGGACTTGCACAGACTTGCGGGGACTTGTGGGGACTTGCGGGGACTTGTGGGGGACTTGTAATGGGTCACAAGTCAGTCACAAGCCATCTAGATCTGGTCACAAGTGAACCCATGGGCTGTTCAAAAGAACCATGCCAAAACCTTCTTTTTTTTATTGTTCGTTCCCTGCTACTAATCACTGGATCCGTGAATTGCCTGATTTATTTGGGGTGTACTTTTGATCCATCACAGTAACGCGACAACAATATTGCAAGACTAATCATGACTGTATTGAATGTGAAAACATCAGACTATGCTCAAAATAAAAACATAAACACATTTTTCCCCCCAAGATTCCCGCCCCTTGATTTCCAAACTGAACAGCCCATATCAAAGATCAGTTGTGAATGTGGGACTGTAAACAAGGCGGGTCACAAAATTATGAACACTGTTGAAAGCATTAGCCGAAAGGTTCCCCCGGGGTCAGGATTTCCCCTGGGGTCATGGAGACACCTGGGAAAATAGACAAGAGTTTATTACAGCCCCGGCTACAACATGTTGATAGACTTAAACAGCTGTCCATATTCTGCACATGACGGTGGCTGACTATAGAATCTTGAACAGTGCAACGAATACCAAGAACTAACAATTTATTTTCAGTAAATAGAAGGTACCTTTTGGGACTTGAGTTACAGAGCTCGTATCAGGAGCTTGTGATACCATCACGGTGTCTTTATCAACTTTATTTTAACTTGATGCTGTCTTTCAATTCTGAGCACTCAGGCTAGCTTTTGTGCACTTTTTCGTTATTGTCAATACTTTCTCTTTAATGTCCAAAAATTAAGTCAAGATGGTTTGTAAATTACCATGCAAGATGTATGGTAAAAAAAATCATTCATAGTCTGATAATATTGGTGCATGAATATTTCAAAAGATTTTGGTGTTTTTTTAATGCATGAATATTCCATGAGGGATGTTTATTCCATATCTTCAAAATCCAACTTTAATAACTGAGCTTCCCACCCTTGCAATTGTCCAAAGTATTCAATTTACAACTGAACAAATCACTTTGCACCCAAAAGTGCATGCCCTGCAAGTTTACATTCCAAATTCTAAACAAACAAAATTGTAACAAAATTCTGCAAATAAGCAGATTGAAGTTAATATTTCATGACATTTTATATGACACAGTGAAAGTGAAACTTGATTTCCGGTGAGCAGCTGCATCTTGCGGTTCATTCAATCAATGGTAAAAAATTCACATTTCGAAGGTGTGCCTTAAAAAAATATGATACCGTCTATACTTTATTGGTACGTAAAACCTCTGCAGGGGAAAAAATACTGATTTAATCTTGCCGTTTTAAGAATTTGATTGAAAATCTACGAAACACATGCTGTGAGAGCAAGAAGCAGGGATTACTGAGTGACTGATTGTTCCTGGTACGGTGTAAGCTTCCTCTTGACATAAGTACGGCACACATTCTACGAAGAGGCAATTAATGCAATTTTGGCTTCGGCCCAAACTTCTAGAACACCGTGTCATTTCCACGGTGTGCCTTAAAAGAAATTTGAGACTGCATGTCCATAGTTTATATTGGTAGATTTCCACTGGGCAGCTGAGTCTTGCGGTACATTCGATAAATGGTAAAAATTTCCCATTTCCAAGTTGTGCCTTAAAGAAAAATACATGACACTGTCTATATAGTTTATTGATACGTAAAACATCTGCAGGAAAAAAATACTGAAGTAATCTTGCCGTTTGAAGAATTTTATTGAAAATCTACTAAACACATGCTGTTAGAGCAACAAGCAGAGATTACTGATTGTTCCTGGTACGGCATGTATGGTCTCACTCGTTAAGCTTCCACTTGACATCATATGAATTCTATGAAGAGGAAATTAATGCAATTTTGGTTTCAGACCAAAATTCTGGTAAACAGTGTCATTTTTGTCTAATGTAACCAATAGAAGTTACCAGGTTGGTACCGTATGTTGTTTCTGGGGTCCGATGCAACTTATCGGATCCTGTTGTTAAAAACCAAATTCACCGAACCAATTACCGTCCAAAGGCTTCACAATATTGTCCGGTTATGATGTAGCAATATTCTTCAAACTACAACCTATGAGGAAATACCTTTTGAAAAATATATTACTCTTTACCCGATTCAGCATCTCATTTTGATATCACATGCACAATATTCTGAGAATTTAAACAAATACATCCTTATCCTGTTTATTGACACAAACTGTTGGACATGTTTGCAATGTGTTTTGTTTAAACCTGTGCAAAGGTTTCATTACTGTAGTTTTGGCATACTTTGTGGAATGTGACTCTTGAGTGTAACTGAATCTCAGCAATAGTTTGGAAAGAATTTCATACATTTGTATGACATTGCATTCTTCCAGGAAATAAAGATTATAGCCATTAAGAGTCATACTCATATGAAGCCCGGAAAGGGACAGAGTGGAAACGTTTTTTTGTAATTTGCTAATTCGTTCCCACGAATTGCTAACTCGTTCCCACGAATTACTAATTCGTTCGCACGAATTGCTAACTCGTTCGCACAAATTGCTATTTCGTTCGCACGAATTACCAACTCGTTCCCACGAATTACTAACACGTTCCCGGATCCCACAAAATAGCAATTCGTGCGAACGATTTGGCAATTCGTTGGAATGAATAAGCAATTCGTGCGAACGAGTTAGCAATTCGTGCGAACGAATTAGTAATTCGTCGGAACGAGTTAGCAATTTGGAACGAATTAGCGAATTACAAAAAAAATTTCCACCCTGTCCCTTCCTGGGCTTCATATACTCAGAAACTCATGATTTGTATATATGTACAGCTGGAAAGGGATCTGAATTTTTTAAATGGGTGTCATACGCTTTCATTCTCTTATTTTGATTCTTTTGGTGGTGAAAACAAAAGTGCCCAGGCACTGTAGCTCGAAAGCCTGAAAATCCCAGAGAGAGCTGTTCCAGCGCTAGAGGTGGGGGATCCATACTTGTTCATAGACTATGATATTAGCTGTTCAATCGGTTTTGTGGAATCAAAAAAGTTCTAGGGCTACTCCAAAAGTCTCCAAAACTTGGTAACAACAGAAAACTGCACCCTGATGTGGTCTCTGCCAAAGCATGTGAGGCAAATCCAATCTACATGTTGAAAAGGTCACACAGATGGAAAGTATACGACTGGTGGGAATTATAAGTACAGCTGCGCCAACCTCAAGTTTCTCTCAACAAATCATAATCAAAATGCAGGTTAGATTGGTTACACTTTGACAAACTATGCAACTTAACAGCTTTGTAAGTTGGTATATGGTGGTTGACAGGGGTCGTGTTGAACCTACAGGGGACAGAAGACCTAGGAATGCAACATGTTTGCTTATGCCGGCCATAACCTGCCCCACCATTTCATGGTGCTATGCTATTTTGTGCTGCTCCACTGTCAATACTAAGATAAATAGGGCTCAAAAGAGCTCCATACTACCTACTTTTACAATGTAATTTTCAGAGAATCCTGCAGGAAATCTTAGTTTTACAGGATATGATACGTGTGTCCTAAGTTTCTTTATGCAAAACTTATTATGACACAAAACTGAGACAAAAGAGGCGATCAGCTAACGTTTTGGATCCTATAACCTAGGATCCCACAGGAATATGTAAAGGTGGCGAAAACAGTTTAAATCCTGGAACATCCTGTAAGTCTTTTTTTGGTCAAGATTATGAAACTCAACCATCGCATAAAAAAGTCAGAATACGTTTAATGACTGGATGCTGTTTTAAAATTGTCCTATATGTCAATGTTTTTTTTGTCTATTTATGTATATGTGAGTATATTTGTTTACTGTTTGTATTTTACCTGTTACCTTTAAATAGTGATTTTTTTTCGCTTTTGGGAAATCCTCGGGCCTGTTTGTTTTTAATGTTTCCATCTTGTTTGCCCGATAATAAATAAATAAATAGAGAAACTACTCAACCGGCATAAGGATGTGCCCTGCAGCAGGCTAGTTTGAGTACAAGTTAGCTCTCCAGTGATAAAATATAGCTCCATTTTCCATCATTAAACATATTGAAAGCTAATTAGCTCAGGGTTCCCAGTACTTTTTGAAAACAAAATTCCCTGAGTTTCCCCTGATATGGCACTGAGAAATTTCCATATTTTCATTTTAAAGAGGTTGCTTGGAAGTCATACGGTGGTTGCAGCAAAGCAACTAAGATACTGATAATACACAGGCAACTTGTCGACAAGCGACGGCCTCCTTTCTCCCCTTATAGCCATCCTTTCCTCACCACAGCAACAGAGATGCATATACGCCAAACTGGCAAAAACCTTTACCTGTTGGGTCTAATTCCCCGAGTTTTCCCTAATTCCTGTTTTTTTCCACAGGCTTCCTGAGTTTTCCCTGACTGAAAAAATGGAAACTAACTTTCAAAGTTATCAATGAAGGGCTGAGAACCCGAACTTTAGCTTGTGGTCGATTTGACGACAGAACAAAAAATGATATGAGTTGTACTCACGCCTCCACAGAGCTCAAAGTCATCGCCGAAGTCAAATTTACACTGATCATCCATGTTGTACCATTCGCCTGGGTATCCATCCACCTCAGGCAGCCCACTCTCAAACGGGTCGTCTTCAAGACAATCATAGTTCCTGCATCATGCCAAGGACACATCCAGGAGAGTTAGCTATGGTGTCTCCAAGTTTCTCTCTCCGTGCTCTTAAACACATTTAATTTTTTTTTCTAAAACAATTTTCATTCTTTTTGCATGTTTCATTTGACCCAAATTACTTTTTGGGGGCATTTAGGAGTCAACAACCCTCTGTAAAGCAGCTTTTATTTTGGCCATTGCCTTTGCACATTTTACATGCAAAAAGATCTGCCTGCAAATAATAGTAATAATAATTATAATAATTACCTTGGATTAGACATCTGGGAGACATTGCCATAGACTTGTGCACAACATTTTTCAAACTGAAATGTGCCCTAACCCAAATCCTTTTTTCACGAATTTCAATATTTTTACTAATTAGACCACGAGCAACAAATATAACCTAATTGCGACAATAAACTTTTGCCTCTAAGGGGGGGGGGGGGGGGCTGTGACATTAGGGACACATAAATATGTCTCCCTAATGACCAGTGTCTCCCTCAATTTGAAAGAATGATGATAACGTGTCTCCTTAATAGTACACTTAGTCGTATAATACTAATGATAATAATATAGAAAATTTATAATGCGCCGCGGCCAGATCCACCTTAATTGAAATTTGTAACATAATGATTCCGAAACGTAATGAAAGTGGATTTTTCCGTCGGCCTCAAATAATTTGAAATTTGTAAACTTATTTTTCCATGTCTCATTCGATAATGAATAGCAGATTGAAATTCGAAAATTAGCACAATTGCAGTAAGTCTAATTCGACAGCCAACCAAATCACAAACTAATTACCTCAAGTATCGATTGAGTTCTTCAATGCTGCAGTCCGACCAGAAATGGTCGGTGTAAGTAGAGATCACGACAGGCGCCATGATGGATCCTTGATATGGCTCAACCGTACAATCGTTGCCGGCGCCATCATGTTCCATACCAAATCTATGAAAGTAAAGGCAAACAACAGTTGTTTTTTTTATTGTGATAGTTAAAGGTGTGTTGAAAATATCACTTTGACTAAAATGAGGAGTTTTTTATTTATATTTGCTAACTCCGTGCTCTTCAACAAGATGAAAACATTTTCTAACAAACTTTCAATTTGTACACTTTTTATATTCTAAATTGTTTTTTTACCCTCTATTTTTTGGCATTTTCAACCCTCTAAAAAGGCTTTTATTTGGGTTGCTTTTGCACCTCTACAGCAAAAAAAATTTATTAGTGATATTTTTGAAGAATTTTTAAATAACAAAACATCGGCTGACTTTTTTTCTCATTCAAAAGTAAATCACTTTTGCATAGCTGGATATACAGCAATTCAAAAATCTATTTTTGGGGACGGAAGCTCGAAAAACAGCATAGGGAGGGCAATTTTTGATACTGTGCTTACCAATATTCAATGATAAATGCAAGAACAAAATTTACAATTTGGTTTAATACTTACACATGACCTGCCTCATGAGCCATTACAAAAGAGGACAACAGTCCTTCATCCCTGACTAGGGCACAACTTCTCGTCATGGCACACATACCGGTCACTGGAGCATAACCTATTTGAGGGGGGAAAAAGTTGTTGCAAGTTGCAGGATATCAACGGGAAAAAAAAAGGCTAGATAGCAATTGATAATAGCATTTGTGGTGATGAAGATGATCGATGCAATGACTAGCATCCCTTTTGACAGCCCATGTTGGATTGGACCTGGTTCTATTCACGTTGGATCCATTATGATTTGGACACAGGTAGGCAAGAGACATCCATTATTAAGTGAAAAGGCCTATTGATCAAAATTTACCACAAATACTCTATAGAGAACAATGACATGTGGAAAACAGAGAACTAGCTACTTTAGTAAAAATGTTTCAGAGCTAACCTGCTGGACCAAAGTTCAGTCGGGTGACGAAGGCGGCCAAATCGTGGTGGTTTGGTTGTGTATCGTCGCGAACTGTCTGTGTCGTGGCCCATCGACACACATTGGACAAACTCGCCTGGGCTTGGTTTTCTACAACCTAGTCACAAAGACCTTTTTTTTTAGCAAGTAAAATTTGATGCAATTTTTTTCAGTGGTTAGATGACTTGTATATGTCAATCTGCGTCATTGGTCGTAGTCATCACATCTTTTGTTGGTCCAAGGTTGAGTACATTGTAATTCTGGTCATTAGAAAGGGAGCATTGTGTCGTTGCTAAGATTTTGTTTTGATTAGGTGTGGCAGAAAGCTTGACAGCTCAGCACAGATTGCCGCGCTAGAAATTTAGTGCCCTGCAGCTGATTCTGCCTAGATGGTGCAATTTCAGATATTATTGCCATCCGATTTTGTGTCAATTTCCTATTTTGGGAGACCTTGGTTCTCCAACATTTTCTGCTTGTGAGGGGCATATGGAGAGATCACATTCCATTTTTGTAGTACAAGTCAGATTTTGATTTGTCCGTTTTCTCGTCTTCGCTTGTGTTTTGTAAACAACATGAGCTTTCCCCTTCCGCAAATTAATTCTCTCGAGGTAATTCTGACATTTTGCAAGAGGTCCTGGGTTCAATTCCCGGACAAGCCCCCAAAATGTCAGAATGACCCGAGAGAATTAATTTACAGAAGGGGAAAGATTCGGAGGGATATGACAGAGTAAAGGTACAAAGATTAGGAGATGTTATAAAGTCAGTCCAATGTCACGACAAGTCATCAGAAGTCATAACTCATCAAGTCTCAAGTCAATGTGACTAGCTATTCAAACGACCTCTAACAGAGGGCGCTGTACACCCCCTGTGCTTGTGGCCTGGCTTGTGAAATAACTTTCTGACTGACTTGTGCGTGACTGATGAATAAGCCATTTGCGAATTAAATTCGAGTAACATCTGGTACCCTGACTTGCTGGAATGCTTGGCACATTTTAATTTTCAATTCTCCAGACCAAATTAAAGACTGTTGCTATATCACGAAATTCGGAGCAAGCCTTACGCTAGCAACCCCAGGTCCGGAATGGTCTGGTGTCTTTGCGCCATTCTCATCCATTGTGACCTATGCATTGATGCTGAGCGTCTCTTACGCAACTATGCAAGAGCTTGCCCTCAATAATGTGATATAGCAACAGTGTCTTTGGTCTGAAGTTTTCAAAGTTAACATGTGCCAAGCATTATGAGCAAGTCAGCCAGTGTACCAGATGTTATTCAAATTTAACTCGCAAAGGGTATAGGTTATTCGCAAATGGCTTATTAGTTATGAGTGACTTAAGATTTGTGACTTACTTGATAATTGTCAATGTCAAAATTAAAGCCTATTTTGAGATTCTATATCTTGTTTTAAAATAAATAAGAATGTTTTACAAACCAAATCATCATTGAGTAGAATGATTCTGGATGCTGAGAACTGGATTTCAAAGGGCATACTGTCATGCTGATAAGCAACATTCACCTATTTCAAAACACATTTCAGAAATGTATAAAGTGAAACAGAACAAACACCTTCTGCTTCATTTAATAAGGCCGAATAAAAAAAAACCCAATGTTTCTCGTCCGGGTTTTGAAAAAAAGGAGGAAGAGGGGCTATTTATTTTTAATTTTTTTCAAGATGGCCGCCATTTTAACATTTGCTGCAACCGTTGGTGTTTCCACTGTTCAAAGACACTTTTAAAATGAAAGAAGATTTATGTGGTGTACAAAGTGACCGACAGAGTCTATACTGAAAACTTTTACTCCCATATTTCGCAAGTATTTATTTTCCGATGAATTTGTGGACTTTTTCTGTGTTTTTTTACTGCATTTTTCAAAATTTTTTTTTTTTTTTAAATTCAGGCGGCCCCCAAAAGGAAGCGGGCGAGGACGAGAAACATGGTTTTTTTTATACTTTACCTAATACAACATATTTATAAAGTGCACATAAAGCCTGGTTCCAATATTGACGTTGAGCTGATGCAGACTATGCAGACTACGCAGACAGTACGCGGAACAGTCGGCAAAGTTGAACAACTTTGCCGATCGTCTGCGAGGTAGTTTGCGTCTGTCCGAGTTGTCGGCGACACTTCCGGATGAAATGTTTCTGTATGTCTGCGTTGCAGTTTGGGTCCTGTTTGCGTTTCACTGCGCATTTCTTACGTCGATACATGGAAACCAGGCAAATTAAAAGGTGGTCATTCGCCATCATTATTCCCTGCTTAGAAAGCATTACTAAATTTCAGTGGGATATGACTGTTCATGTACATGTTCATGTTCATGTGTCAAAAAGGTTATCTGTTCAATTCTTGGACTTTGAAGTATTTGCTGATTCAAAGTCACGTTTTCAAGTTCAGAACTTCTTCATTTTCTATTAAAAGTGGCTTTCTACCTCTTTGTTTCCCAAAACTTACGATATTCAACATGGTTAGCAAGTACGATGTCATGGCATCCACGCCGTGGAAACTCGTCATAGAATTATCGGCTGCCAGTAGTGTCTCCACAAAGTGAAGCTGGCCCTGGTCCCCAGCACGCCTTCTCTCACGGTGAGAATTAGTCTCCGCAGAGCCAGCGTCCTGTCGTCTCGTGGATCGGTTTTCCTCGGGGGTGTCATGATGCAGGTCCACTGTCACTGAAATTGTTGAAAACAGAGATGCATAGTCAAGATAAGCAATAACAACAGGCCACTATGGACAGTTGGCTGTGACTAAGAAGGCAACAAACAAAAAGTCGAATTACTCTTTTCTTATAAAAATTCAGCAAAGATGGAGTGAAAACGAATTGGACCGTACATATAGTTTTTTCACTCGATTCCTTCCATGAAATATACAAAATATTATTAGCATCAATAGATCAAAAGAGGTCTCCCTCCGCCCCCCCCCCCCCCTTAAGAATTTGCAAATGCCGGACAGTCAGTCACAGATCAGACAATGGGGCACTTTCTACTTCCCCTGAACCCCACACACAAATAAACAACTGAATTAAGGCCAACAAAAAAAATAAGTCGGTCTCTGGTCAGCGCGCGCATCGATTTTAATCATGCGCGTCGATCTTTTTTTTTTCAAAATGTTCCGCGGTAGCTCCAACAGCGCCCTCTATTTCCGCACCTCCTTAATTTTTTTTACCAAAGAGCACCAAGGAATGGGAAATTGCACCAAGGCAAATGATCGAAAGCACCAAGGCAAATTATGGAGGACACCAATGTACATGAGGACACCAAAAAAGCAAAATAGTACCTACCTTGTCTGTACAATCCAAGCTTGAAGAAAAAAAAAAAAAAAAAAAAGCCGCGTGGCCGCGTCAATTCCGGAACTTTGGTCTGACCAGAGACCGAATATTTTTTTTTTGGCCTAACCCTAACAGAACTCAACCCATCAAACCCCAACGGCACGTTTTGTTGGAATCCTCCAGAATCAAAGTCAGAAATATGTGTGTGCAGTTTCCCATAATTATGGTGTAATTGTTGGAATTTGCCAGGATGGGTATGGTTCCTAGTAAATCATGCTATGAATTAGGTTAATACAGAAATTGGTAACAATTAAAGGTAGACTGAAAGGTAGGACTTTCATCAAAGACTACAAAAAATAGGGGGGGGGGAAGCTATAGATTTTTTTGTTTATGAAGAAAGCAAGGGTTGTATTTTCCTAAACTGATCCTGGATGATCTTACAAGCTGTTTGTAGCTGGGTGGATTCCATCCTGAAGTCTCTAGGCCGGTACATGATGTGCAGATGTCCCTCTGATATGTTCACCTTTGACCTACCAACCACTGATTCCAGAGGTTCGATGACATACTCCTCATCGCCTGCTCGAATCAGGCCACTCTGTAAAATTGGACACAAAAAAACTTAATTCTGAAAAGAGGCACATTATTTTGTACAAATTGAATTTACAAACGATTTTCAACGATGGTGAGGGGGTGGGAAAGGGGGAGATGTGAGAGGGAAGGGGCTGGGGTTTCAACTCAGCACAGAATAAAAAAAAAATCATTGCGTGGGGTGGGGGCTGGGGGTTGCTTTTAGACATTGTCTCACATATGGAGCTGTTGGGTCTGGCAACCATCTGGCTAAAGATACAATAGCATTATTCATGGTCAAATATTTAGTAAGAGTGACTATACAGAACCACAATTTTTCAGGCCAGAAAACAACATCAACCAGTTCCTCGTCCAAGTCCGCTCCTTTAATTTGTTTTTTAATTTGTACATTTGCAAAATATTTTGCAAATAATTGTCAATATATTGCCTTATTTGTTTCCAACAAATTTGCAGCTTATTATGTAGAAAGAGTTACAGCTCCTTTGGACAAATGTTTGTATCAGCAAGAGTTAAGCAAATGAAAAAATACATCCGCCATCTTCAAAATCTCCGATGTTGAGGAAAAAAGGGCCCGCCTCCTTCCTTTCTTTTTCGCAGAAAGCCCAGGTGAGAAACATTTCATTATTTACTTCGTCTGAATAGTGTTACTGTTAATTAACATTTTATTTTTATTTGCAACAGTTGATTGTATTTTTGTGCTCAATTTTTATTTTACTATTTTGCCACACAATATTCAGGTAATCAGCCAAACATGTACCTCAGTGTTACTGTAAGTGGCGAGCAGCTTGACTGAGGGCAAGTACGTACCCCCTCCCCCAACTTTCTCTACCCCCCCCCCCCCCCCCCCCCCCCGATCAATGTCTGCACACAACCCCCCCCCCCCAATCCCCTTCCCCGACTCAGAATTTGAAAGGACCCCCAAAAAATCGTTTGGTTTTGAAACCCAGTGAGTGGCCCATCAAAATAAGGATCACCTAACCCTTGCAATTCAAGTTCCCCCATAATTATAATATGGCCCAAAAACTGTTGGCCTACACAAGTCATGTACCTTCCACAGCGCGGCGACGGGGCCATATCTCTCCTCAAGGCCTCGGCACCCCGGGCTAATCCCCAAACCCACCCAAAGAATTTAGAAAAGGGACCTTTTCGCTGTTTTGAAACATGGACCAAACCCATTGAGTGTCCCTTCATCAGAAAGGTTCCTATAAAAAAAATGACGTGCTCACCCACCCGGCCTCCGATACGGATCCTGCGAACTAGCTGCACACGTTTTGATTGTATAGCTAGAGCTAGCCCCATAAATGTGGCCTATTTACTGGACTGCCTCCGTAAACATAGGCCACACATCCACATGTACAAAAACGTGTCGCACTTTGCCAAATTTTGATTTTCACATTTAGGTTTAGTTTGTAGGGTTTTTTTGCTTTAGAAGCATACTCACCCTCTTAATAGGCTAATCAGAAAGTGCTGCCTTTTTTCACATGTCCATTTTTCGTGAAATTTCCAGATACATTTGCACACGTTTGCGTATCAAAATTTCAACATGAAATTTCACAAAAATCAGACATCTGAAAACGGCAGCACTTTCTGATTAGCCTATAAAGAGGGTGAGAATGCTTCTAAAGCAAAAAAAAAACCTACAAAGTAAGCCTAAATGTGAAAATCAAAATTTGGCAAAGTCGACACGTTTTTGTACATGTGGATGTGTGGCCTATGTTTACGGAGGCAGTCCAGTAAATAGGCCACATTTATGGGGCTAAGCTAGAGCTAGAGGAAGAAACTAGGTCCGGTGCCATGCGGCGGTGCCACACACGGCCACGTGACCAAAATTGGCAGGATTCTGATCAGGTCGGGAGTTTTCCGAATAGGTTTTTCATTGAAACTCAAAAATGTGATAGGTGCACAGTACACATGCCTTTTAAAGTTGCATTTCCCCGGCCCGCGCTATTTTCATCTCCCAAATTGATTCCTTTTCTAAATTGCTATTTTTCTAATTAATATAGCCATCGACCAAAAAAAATCGGCCCACGTGGGTTATCATTATTCCTACTTTACAAACTTCGAATTATTGGCGGCGCGACATTACGTTCTTACGGGATATGCTGGTTTCAAGGCAAGTGGATCAGTTTACGCCCAAATTATAAACCTTTAGTTTTTTAGAGGATTGAAGACGCCCAGAGAGGAGGTTTGGTTGTAGGAGGTTCAATTCTTTGGGTTAGAATTTCTGTTATATTCAACCAAAATATGTGGTAAAAAAGGACCAGATTTAATTTGGTCTTGTTATGAGTACTTATGACTACAACTTTTGGTTGAATTTAACAGAAATTCTAACCCAAACAATTGGTTATAGAACAACCCAATTTTGGGTAGTTGCAGTTTTCACCCTTTCTTGGGTAAAATTAACCCAGGCAATTTTTCAGTGTAAGTTCTACAGGAAGATCGCTTACATTCATACTACATCATGGGCCATGTCAAAACTCTTTCCGACTTTAATGTAAACCAATTCCAGTTACCAAATTTGAAGCTTAACTGAACAAAAATAATGCTTGCGCAGTATCGCCGCCAACACGCCCATAACTTGCAAGTTTATGCCCAAATGTCGCGCTCAAGATATTTGAGTTTCTTCGATAAATTTCTTGGCATTTCATCATGCGGTCAGCCGCCGGATCATCGAGGGTGATTCTACGGACCAACGTACACCTTCCCACGGTCTATATCTAATAGACGAATTTCAAATTGGCATCGAATACGAGGCTATCAGTGCTAAGCCATATGTATGAATTCAGAAACATTCCTTCTTTTCTTTTTTAAATCATCTCAACCATCATCCTCCATGTCTCAACAAAAGACAGCATTCACTGAGGCCCCGGTTTCAGTGCCAATTTGAAATATCAGCAGGCTCATCGAAAGTTCGTTGCCTTCTATAACTCTACGGTTGGTTAGGAATTAATTGAGCGTAAAGGCAACAGCGAGCGGTGTTACGCTCCAAATAAAAGCCTCTGCATCCAAGATGATCACGATCGATACTCGGTAATCTGTTGACTTCAGTAAATGATCTCACAACTGCATCGTTAAAACCGGATGAGTAAACTCATAGTACGGATGAAAAAAAAAGGGATATCGATTTAGGTCTGAGCGCTACAGATCTATAATATCAGATACCGGACATCTCCGGTGGAACTATTTCAAAACTACGGATGATCAGACCTTTTGGTAAAGATTTGGGGTGGGGAGGCTTCACTGTCGAGGAAGAAATGTAGGAATGCATGAAGCTCCCCGTGACTCCAGTTTGACGTCGCTTCCTTTTTTAGATTGCGAGGCTAGGATGGTGTAACACGGTCCTAATGGTCTCCATGATAAAAACGACGGCAGCAGCTAGCACAGGCAAATCTCCATTGGTGTAGGCATATTATATAGATCAAATAGATTAAAGCAAGCCCGCCCGAAATCCAAGAAGGACATCGATCGAAGTGATTACCAAAGTCTGCCCACGGGCGGAAGGAAAACCAATCCGCAATTAGTCTTGGCTCAATTCAAGACAGCTGGATTTGTATTTGTAAGTCGACGCATGTAGGCCTACTGTTACAAGTAATTATAGGCTACCAGGCCTCACGAGCTCGCATGATCTTGAAGACAGCGCGAGTGCAGTGTAGTGAAATATAGGGCCTATATTAGGCTAAAAATTTGCGCAGAAAGCGCTAACTTCCAAAAAGTCTATAATTAGACAGGATGTGATTCGTCTTGTGGATGGCAATCTGTAAACCGCAGCGCAGCTTGCGCTTGACAGACACTGGCTGCAAATTCGAGGATTAAATCCAACTCTGGTCTTTGACCAAGATTGATCCATAATTGGAGAACCCAGTCGTATATCATAGATTCCTTGGTATGGTTCTAATTCTCGGGTACAAGGGGCGTTGTGGCAGAGGTTAGAAGTGGGTAGGGATAATAATCGGACACAGACCAATCCGGGGACCACAAAGGGAAGCCATCATTGAGGTGGTACTCCAACCTCAACCGCATTCGAGTTCTTATATAGGACGAATGAATTAAGGCAGTCTTATTGGTTGAAGGAGCACCGTGTGCGCGTACGACCTCCACGCGAGTATTGAACCACTTTAAAGATGACTTTCATTGTGATCATCGGATTAGAGCCTATTATGGGACTGCCTATGGGTACTCGAGAAAGCAATACAGATTTGTATAAATGATTCGGAAAACCAGCCCCCCCCCCTTCGCAACTGTACCAAAAGACTTTCTGTCCTAGAATCTGTCTAATATCACAGTAGTCTCTCTTTTCTCGGATTCAGGAGCCATTACATAGAGAGCACCCCTGCTGTACCTCTTGAAAGCCTGCACCATGCTTTGAACAAGATCATTGTGTTGCGCTGCACCCCAAGCGTCGCGTGGGGTGGTCCGTCTTCTTCCTCTCATCAGTGCATCAACTTCACTGAATGATCACATCAGAAAACCCCGCGGGTCACTCAACTTTGCTGAATTGACGCCAATCAAAATTGGCAATGTGCCGAGAGGAACTACAGCGGATTAGCTCAGACTTGCCAAAATGCAGCACTGTCCGACATCCCGTGGTGGTACGACGAGTCACAATGGTTGCTTTAAGAACGCGTTAGCACCACACATCGCAAAGTTTGTCCACTAAAGAAGTTGCGGCGCTTTTCTTTCTTAAAGTTAAACCTAAATAACTTTTATCCCACAATCAGGCCATGCCCCACCAACCATTCCGTATTAATCGCAATTCATTCGTGGGGTTAAGAATCAATCGAGATTCTGAGACGCATGCAAACATCCAAAGATCTCGAGAAACCAAACGGAGGACATTATTCGGTGCAAAAGCAAGTTTACTTGCAAGCCTGGACCCAATTTCTTGGCTTTGCTTACATACAATCTCTGCCTACTGTAATATACATTTCTGTGCGTATACGGTTAGCCTAGCTATTTCACAGGTAAGCGAGGAATTTCAGCCTATGAGCATGCGTACATCCCGCAACTGATGATTCTGTGCTTACAAGGTTATATAGCACAATTTTTTTCTGCTAGCGCAGTGAGCATAGAATGAGAAACGTAAAAGCAGAATTATATAAGCATTCCCCATGCTCCATGGGCCTCTTAGCCTATTCGGCATTAGGCCTGTGGTACCGTGGTACTCTGCGGATTGGACGCAAGTTAAACAAATAAAACTAAACACAAACAAACGAACAAGCAAATGAAAGGTTACTCACCAATCCATCACAGTTGCTAATAGCAACGGAGGACCTCGGAATGTCATTGACACCGCCGGTGTAATAGCATAGGGTATTGGGTCGGTAGACGTCTTTCGAGCCGTCCTCGTTGTACCGTTCGACTCTCATCTTGGGCGAGACTAGGAAGCGGTTGCGCGTGACGTTTAACGTCAAACGTGCGCCAAACGCGTCGACCCGGAAGTGGTGGTTCTGCCTGAGGTCATCGTGGGGGTCACCTCCCACTATCCGATGTGATGTACTACGGGCGTGGCGCGAGGTGCGGCCGCCCGATTTCTGGTTAAGGAGCGTGTCTCTTTTGGCGCGCTCGTACACGTTCCGTTCCTCTTCTTTTGTCGTGGAGAGGTCATGGGTCACAAAGTTACCGTCCGATGTAGACCGGTAAGGTCTGACCAGTTCGTAATGTGACAGTTTGGAAATCAGGTGATCTGCATGTAATGTTAGGAAAGAAACCAATTAGGCTAGATGAACAAACGGTGCGTTTTTACCAAATTTTGGCCGGGGGGGGGGAGTGGGGCGGGGTATGTTTGTATATCAGGCGAGTGGTGCAATGCATAGACACTACGCATTATGTGCTTAAGTAGTTTTCGCAGTGTACCCTGAAAAAATAACGAACTTTATGTACTCACGATGTTTTGCCTGCAGTGGCACGTGACTTGGAATGCTTGCACAAGAGACCTGAAAACAATAACGGCAAAACTGAATTCAGAATGAACAGAAACAATACAAAATGTTCAATCCCTGAATCCTGACTGTACAATAGTAGCGTTTATAGCAATTTTAATTTGCGTATTAATAAAACCTAATCCGATTATCCGAATTCTAGATGAATTCTAAAAAAATAATTCTTTGAACGAAGAAATTCACTTTGGGCGGGATTTGAAAATGCGGCCGACTTGTTCTTATCAAAACAAACGTCGTCCCTGAAATGTGGCTTTGAATGTATTTAATTATTGAGGTGGATGTTATTGCAAATAGGCCAAAAACATGTCTTCAAGTTAAAGTGTGAATATGCATGGACCCAAATTAAAAACAGTTTGTATTATGTTCATTTGTAACCAACAGTGTTGTTGGCCCTATTAATTTCAACTCCACAAGAACTAGCAGAAAACACATGTGACATGACACGTATGCACGCCACGCATAATTAAGAGAACAGTGGTTCTCGGAAAACAAATGTTTATCTTGCACCGGTTCTTATGTCAAGTCTACCATGAAGACGGATAGCAGTTCTTCGAAACAGGCGCAAACAAAAGCTAATGTGCTTAAACTGCCGTGATTTCCGACTCATCGGTCTGTTGTTCGGTGTGCGTCATAAGGTTTCTCTGACACCGACAGCCTGGCAAGGATGTTTCGAGATTGACTTTCAACCTACATTCAATGATACAATAATCCTGACTGGAAATGTTCACATATAGCATGTCTGTGTTTGGGGTGGGATGGAGCCCCAGTGACAATCGCATTGGACAGATTTATAGGTTTTAAATAGCCATCGCAACGCACAAATCGGCTCACGAGTCAAAATGAGTTTCAAATTTTGATTTGAAGTACCCCACCACTGTTAACTATTCTCGCACACTGCATAACATAAAAACATTTTGGAAGACCGGACACTAAGAACAAACGTTTTTTTCCATAACTTTTTTTTCACAATACGTCACTGCAGGGAAAAATACTGGAAGTTGCTGTTGAGGAAAGCTATATTAGCTTTTAGGTACATCAGATATACCAGCTAACGATTAACAGTAATGCTTATTGATTAATGCTTGGGATGCTTACACGCCATACACGATATTGTATGTACTGTAATATACTTAAGCCGACACCGCACCTTGAAAAAAGTTCATTCTAAACAATGTTACCATGGAGCTAATTTCTCTACCAAATTAAGCGACTATGTCGAATTCATAATTGTACCAAATTAAATATTTTCAAATGCAAACTTAAATTATACTATGTAATTTGATATGTAATGTGCCTCTGCCACTGGACTTTGTATGCACGGTGATCCTACTCGTAGCCCACTATTAACATTATTAACATTATTTTTCATAACTTTTTCACAACTTTATTTACTGCTTAGAATTATACATGCGTGTAATTGTTTTTTTTGCTGTTATTATTCGTCTGTTTTGTGTAATGGCATGCCTGATACAAGCTTTGCTTCTAAGGTTTTGTCACCTATAGTGGCCTTTATATTTTGTTTCAATACTTACATTATGTTTTCGTTTCTGTCATAAAGAGGAAATAAATGTGATTTGAATTTGAAGTTTGAATTTGAATCTAACAATATTCCAACATTTGTCGCATGTATTCCAGCACTACTGAACAGCTCTGATAAATATGCGAAACAACGCGGTAGTAGTGTCACACTAGGTCATTGACCCCTCGTTGAACTGCTCAGCTCAATGATGTTATAAAGGGGCCTTGAAACTGAGGAAGCGTTGGAACATACATTTAGCGGCTACGGATATGACGTAATAATGCTCATCGCTCAGGATTCACTGAAACATACACTATCACCATGGCTGGAGATAAACATCAGTAAATAATATGTTCATGGCTCCCACTTACAAGTGCCGAACCTGGGTCATTTAAAGGCATATACATGTATGTATATTATGTACAACATATATCCGGTTCTTTTGAGAACCACACATACTCACAAAAGAGATGATTAATTCACATGGTGCTACCGCAAACTTATCTTGTCTTAGTATCTTTCCACCATGCAAACCTTCAAATCTCAACATGTAGGTTCATTTGCTAGCTATGTACTTTGTTCGTTTGCAATAATAACACCGTAATCAAAACCCAAAGAAAAAAATGTTTAAAACCTAACCTATTTTAGTTTCAGCTCCGTGGAAATTACACATTCGAGAAAACAGTGAAAAATCATGCACAGCATTTGTTTCGTCAATAACACTCTTCGAGTCTCTTGTAGGCCCTCTATCTAAGTTCCAATTAATTTAGGGCCTACTCGATTCGAAAACCCCCAGGCTATTACGGTACAATAGTGTGCGGCTTCATGCTTTACTTATACTTCGCTGTCAATTACATACAATACTTGGGGGGGGGGGGGGGGAACTTTCCCTCCCAATGTATGCCATGTTATAAGTCGCAACCTTTGGGTACGTGTCGACCGCTAAACTTCTCCAACACGTTAACCTTGTACGTGTACGAGTATAATTGCGTTTGAATTGCAAACAGACGGGCAAGTCAGTTACAATATCACCGAAGGCCATTTGAAATTGAAAAGCATGCAGTCGAGTGATAAAAAGACTTGTATATAGTCGATCTAGACTAGAAAGTCTGCAGCAGTTTAGCATTTTAGAACGAAATTACGTGATCTATATTCAAAAACATGTACTCCGTCAGTCAATAAAGGTTTGCCCATACTAGGTCCAGAAAAATAAACTTGATATATGAATCATTCTGTCAATTTGCCAAAGGTAACTGACTGTTTTCCCCCTTTTTTACCTACAGCGTGGTACGATGTACATGTACATGTAGGCCTACCGTACGATACACGTATAATCCTATCATCAATGTCAAGCGGCCAGGCTTGTTGTAGACAGTGATTAATGTTCTGCCCACATTCGTGGGTCGTGCCATGATAGCAATGTCACGTATGTAGGTCGACATGTTCGAAGACACCGGGGCGTCGTTATAGGGTCACCCATCGCAACTTCGTTGTCGGCTAATACTCCGATGGACGTGCAACAGTATGCCATGCGTCCCTATATGAACTACAAATGTAAATTCCTCTGTGTAGGCCCGTACACGTACGCCTTTCTAAAGTGATGGGAATACCACCCGAAAAAGTTGAACACGGGTTTACGTAGAAGAAAATGAACTTTCAGTTCTGAAACGGTGCCCTTTAATTTTTTCTGAGAGACTAATGCTCCAAAATAGATCGAGGATTCAGTCGCTGTGAGCCTTGTTCCACTCTGAAATTGATTGATCACGATTAGTACCGAGAAGTCATGTTTCATGACATATTCAGCCCAATATCCATTCATTCACAGCACTAGAGGAAGGAAAACAGAACCGGTAACATGTGATGCCAAATCACTGTAGAGTTACAATTACTATTTACTATCAGGCTCGAAACACATTAATTTCAAGCCTTTCTCCTAGTTACCAGGAATATAATGCGTAACGTAGTCTTGATAAGCCGGGTAAGAAAATAGCTTTGGTGTCGATTTCGCATGTTGTTTTGTAATACTCTGTAATCAGAACATCAACAGCGCCGAGTGCAAGGTAAATTCAGTCCTGTACGACCAATTCCTTGCAGAATTACACGTTACACTTATACACACAACCCTTACTATGGGTCCAAGCTCGATGCTATGAGCAATCGTTACTGTGGTAAACACTAGCTCCATGGGTGAACGTAAGATCTTTACTGAAGATCCCGACGAGGCCATGGATTTTGTAACTTACCTTCGTTCGAACATTTTCATCATGTAATAAAATAGCTACGACGATTGTAACTACAAAGAACTCCCGTCTGGTCCAGTGTGAAATAAGTCCCATAGCCATTGGGGAAATGTCTCTTATCGCTTGACGTTGTGTTGTCTTAATGATGTCAGGTTTTCTCGAATGCTGATAGCAGAAAAACTCTTGGATAGACGTTCAGTTTTGTCGAGTAGCACTAGCAGTTTTCTGTGTGGGTGCTCAATACACCATGTGCATGTGGGCGTAGTGCGTGGCGTATAGTGAATGAAGGGCAGATACCTTTGGGACTTGTTCAACGTCAAACTTTTCAATCAAGATCGTGATTTTGACGTGTTGGCAGTGACGTCGTCAGTACATGGAGGTAGGTCAGTGGTAGGCGGGAGAGACGTGTTATGGAAAATCTTGAGGGCGCAAATGCACATAGAATGCTTCAAGAATATACTTTACTAGCTTGCTGTGTGTTTTCTTCTGCGCGGGTGAGTCGTGTTTTAGGCTATCATCCCCTGCGGCAAATCGGGGCTCTTTTATCCACTTGAGGAACGGATTTTGGATGCTGTCATTATGATGGTATACGGGGAGATTATCTCGCCCACTTTGTCTGTTCGATGAAATTCCTCACGGACGTGATACGATCACCCGGGTTCATTAGCGGGTATCAACCGGTTTAGCGTACTATAGCTCCGGCCCGGCAGTATAAGCATATTATGTCACGTACCATACGTGGATGTCAAGGTGGGGCCGTATATCATAAGTCCGACGCCTCATAGGTCCGACGCCTCATAAGTCTTTATGAGGCATAATAAGTTTCTGATGTCCATTTGTCATTCCCTCTTAATTTTCCATTTTGTTTCATATATATTCTAACCTCTTGTTACCATGGAGAATGGCGTGTTCTCAAACAATTCATTGCGACGGTCACGGGTTGGATGTGCGCATGCCCAGAAAATATTCTGAAGTTTTTTTAACCAATTCGCGTATTCACTTGATCAAGTTGTATTAATAAAATAGAAATAGTAAAGCTATACAAAAAACGGCTGAGAGTTTGACAACGCAAGTTCATCATCCTTAGTCACCTGATATAGATAAGTTGATGCATGACGTCATCGTTTCAATTGACAGTTCATCTACATGTAGACAAAAACACTGGAGGCTGTGTTCGTGCAGTTTCAGCTTGGTCTGTCGGTGACATTAACCACGATTTCAGGAATTTTCGCAGAACCATGATCAAATTATTAGTATTAAAGGAAACGAAGAATTCTTACTGCCTTGTATACAGTATTTGTCATCATTGTGGTATTTGGGTGTGGAAACTGAGAATCAATGGGATTTGGTCATCTTTGTGCATGTCACACACTGCCATTATATTTCCAAGAACCAGCGGAGAAATACAAGGCTAAGTTTTAATTTATTGTTTTGACTTATTTTAAATCGGTCAAAAGGTTATCCCAGGCAGTTGGCAGGACACGATGTGAAGCACTTCGCTTGAAGTACGCCACCCGGGCTGTCCCTGCTTAATAATTGCAGGGCAGTGGTAGAGCAAAGTGAAGGGCCATTTACTGGCATCCGCGATTATCAAAAGAGGGCGCCATTTAATTCAACAACGAGTAGAGTGCGGGTGAAAGTTCACTCATTTTTTTTATGCAGAGTTAAACAGCCATACAACCGCGTGATTTTTATGTGTCAAATTCGGTGGAAGATCGTAGCGTCCCCATGACATAATATTTATGCTGGTGTTTTTGTCATTTATACTCGAAAAAAATAGGTTCGAGTCCCAGCGATCTCATACTTCTCCCTTAATACCGCAAAATGAAAGTCAAAGTATTCTCCTTTGAATTTGTTGTACCGATGTGCAGTCTTGTAGCAAATATAAGTTTGACGAAAACGCACTGGTGCGGCTGTAAAATCAGGTATCCATGGGATGCAGCCTCGCATTTTCTCCGTTCAGATACACGGATACTAAGGCCCAAAAAGTGTCCGGTTTCTGGTATGGAGCTTAATTGCCCCAAAAGTGGTGCGACGACGCGTTTTTTTTTTTTTTAAATTTTTCCCTTTAAATGTCGGCTGATGACTGTAAATGGTGCCTTACTAAATTTAGTGCAAAATGTATTGGAGCCCAGAGAGGCCGCATAAAGCTTATTCTCGGTCGTAACCCCACTTAAAAAAACACGTTAAAATTGTGCAGCAGTAGGATTCCAGTCAAACCAGTGAGGTTAGCGGTTTTGAGACATCATCTTGTTGGTTGTTGCCACACTGTGACAGGTCTCGATCAAAATGTCTAATTTGCCGGGAATTCCTCACAACAAGATACCCTAAAATAAAGTTTTAGCGAGTAAACACAGCGCAGGCTGACAGTCCACTGTACGGAGATTTACCTGCTGAAAGAAATTCAGGCCAGAAATATTTTGGCGTATACCAACTGTTTTGTACAAAAATTGGATCTATACGAACACCAAACTTGTTGGGAGCTGTTGCCACACTCTCCAGCTCTCGATCCATGCCAAATTTGCTGGAATTGCTCACACCAAGATACCAAAAAACTGAGATGTAGCAAGTAAACACATCTAGCTCTCGATACATGTCAAATTTGCCGGGAATCTTTTACAAAAATATGCCCTAACATCGAGATTTTGCAAGTAAATACAGCTCGGCTGATGGACCACATAGGGGTTAGGGTGGGGACGAGATATAGCAAATAAACACACCACGGAGTGAAGCCCGCTGACAGCTACTCCATGGCAATTTAGGCACAGAAACAAACTCAGACAAAATATTCTTGCTTATGTGACATTTTCTCTACGGACTTCAAACTTGTTGGAGATTGTTACCAGACTAACTAGCTCTCTATACACGTCAAGAAAATCAGGAATTTTTCATAACAAGTTACCGTCAAGACGAGATATATAAGGTAAACATACCACGGAGTGAGGTCCGCTGACAGCCTACTCTATGGCAATTTACACACAGAAACGAACTCAGACAAAATATTCTTGCTTATGTCACATTTTCTCCACGAGTATTGGGTCTACGGACTTCAAACTTGTTGGACAATGAAGCTAGACTAACTAGCTCTCCATACATGTCAAAAAAATCAGGAATTTTTCATAACAAGCTACCGTCAAGACGAATATAAAAGGTAAACGCACCACGGAGTGAGGCCCACTGACAGCCTACTCTAAGGCAATTTACACACAGAAACAAACTCGGGCAAAATATTTTTGCTTATGTCACATTTTCTCCACGAGTATTGGGCCTACTGACCTTAAACTTGTTGGACAATGTAGCCAGTGTAATTAGCTTTCCATATATGTCAAAAAAATCAGGAACTTTTCATAATAAGATATAAAAGGTAAACGCACCACGGAGTGAGGCTCGCTGACAGCCTACTCTATGGCAATTTACACACAGAAACAAACTCAGACAAAATATTCTTGCTTATGTCACATTTTCTCCACGAGTATTGGGCCTACGGACTTCAAACTTGTTGGACAATGTAGCCAGTCTAACTAGCTCTCCATATATGTCGAAAAAAGTCAGGAATTTTTCATAAGATACCGTCAAGACGAGATATAAAAGGTAAACATACCACGGAGTGAAGCAAGCCGACAGCCCACTCTATGGCAATTAACACACAGAAACAAACTCAAACTAAATATTCTTGCTTACGTCACATTTTCTCCACAAATATTGGGTCTACGGACTTCAAAATTTTTGGACGTTGTAGCCAGTCTAACAAACTCTCCATATATGTCCAAAAAATCAGGAACTTATAATTAGACACCGTCAAAAGGAGATATAAAAGAGAAACATACCACGGAGTGAAGCTCGCTGACAGCATACTCTATGGCAATTTACACACAGAAACAAACTCGGACAAAATATTTTTGCTCATGTCACATTTTCTCCACGAGTATTGGGCCTACGGACTTCAAACTTGTTGGACAATGTAGCCAGTGTAATTAGCTATCCATATATGTCAAAAAATAGGAATTTTTCATAATAAGATACCGTCAAGACGAGATATAAAAGGTAAAAGCACCACGGAGTGAGGCCTGCTGACAGCATACTCTATGGAATTTACACACAGAAACAAACTCGGACAAAATATTCTTGCTCATGTCTCATTTTCTCCACGAGTATTGGGCCTACGGACCTTAAACTTGTTGGACAATGTAGCCAGTGTAATTAGCTTTCCATATATGTCAAAAAAATCAGGAACTTTTCATAATAAGATACCGTCAAGACGAGATATAAAAGGTAAAAGCACCACGGAGTGAGGCCTGCTGACAGCCTACTCTATGGCAATTTACACACAGAAACAAACTCAGACAAAATATTCTTGCTTATGTCACATTTTCTCCACGAGTATTGGGTCTACGGACTTCAAACTTGTTGGACAATGAAGCTAGACTAACTAGCTCTCCATATATGTCCAAAAAATCAGAAATTTTTTATAATAAGACACCGTCAAAAGGAGATATAAAAGGTAAACATACCACGGAGTGAAGCTCGCTGACAGCATACTCTATGGCAATTTACACACAGAAACAAACTCGGACAAAATATTCTTGCTCATATCACATTTTCTCCACGAGTATTGGGCCTAAGGACTTCAAACTTGTTGGACAATGTAGCCAGTGTAATTAGCTTTCCATACATGTCAAAGAAATTAGGAATTTTTCATAACAAGATACCGTCAAGACGAGATATAAAAGGTAAACATACCACGGAGTGAAGGCCGCTGACAGCCTACTCTATGGCAATTTACACACAGAAACGAACTCAGACAAAATATTCTTGCTTATGTCACATTTTCTCCACGAGTATTGGGCCTACGGACTTCAAACTTGTTGGACAATGTAGCCAGTCTAACAAACTCTCCATATATGTCCAAAAAATCAGAAATTTTTTATAATAAGACACCGTCAAAAGGAGATATAAAAGGTAAACATACCACGGAGTGAAGCTCGCTGACAGCATACTCTATGGCAATTTACACACAGAAACAAACTCGGACAAAATATTCTTGCTTATGTCACATTTTCTCCACGAGTATTGGGTCTACGGACTTCAAACTTGTTGGACAATGAAGCTAGACTAACTAGCTCTCCATATATGTCAAAAAAATCAGGAATTTTTTATAACAAGCTACCGTCAAGACGAGATATAAAAGGTAAACGCACCACGGAGTGAGGCCCGCTGACAGCCTACTCTATGGCAATTTACACACAGAAACAAACTCGGGCAAAATATTCTTGCTTATGTCACATTTTCTCCACGAATATTGGGTCTACGGACTTCAAAATAATTGGACGTTGTAGCCAGTCTAACAAACTCTCCATATATGTCAAAAAAATCAGGAATTTTTTATAATAAGATACCGTCAAGACGAGATATTAAAGGTAAACATACCACGGAGTGAAGCTCGCTGACAGCATACTCTATTGCAATTTACACACAGAAACAAACTCGGACAAAATATTCTTGCTCATGTCTCATTTTCTCCACGAGTATTGGGCCTACTGACCTTAAACTTGTTGGACAATGTAGCCAGTGTAATAGCTCTCAATACATGTCAAAAAAATCAGGAATTTTTCATAATAAGATACCGTCAAGACGAGATATAAAAGGTAAAAGCAACACGGAGTGAGGCCTGCTGACAGCCTACTCTATGGCAAT